TGCTTTGTGATCATGCCCAAAAATGGTAGTGACAGGAAGTGGGTTTTCAGTAAATGTCTATGGTATTAGCTGACAGTTAATTCTGTTTACACTGTAAAGTCACGCAGCAGCTCCACCCTGAATACCACTGTGTGTGTGTGTCTCACACACCGTGCAGTCGTCACAAACATGAAGTCACTCCACAGCTGGATCACCGCCTGCTGAGTGACTTTCATTTTCACTGAAACCACTGTGGTGTTGTCTTTTTGCTGACACGGTGTTTTACACCTTCAGCCACTCCTCGGCCTCTTCTTGTTTCCTCATTGTTCAGAGGAGTGTCATTAAACTGTGTGAGTGCCGTCTGTGAACAATGCCCTTCACGTGACCCTGGAGGCAGAAATGATTTCTGTGAATTTGGGAGAGATACTCAGCTCTGAGGAAATTACTCACATCCTGTGAGGAGCTCTGGAGGAGGAAGTCTCCCGTGACACTGGGAATCTCCAGTCTACTGACCCACATTACTGCTGCTCCATAATCAGCAGTGGAGGAGTGACGTTTTCTAGTAGAAGATCAAACCATTCCTCTTAGAAACTGAAGAATATTTAAGAACCCCCAAGGTACATTTTTAGAGCTGTCAAAATGAATGCCTTAATGACTTAAAATGAATTAGTAAAATTAATCAGATTAATATTTAGTGCATTTAGCAAAGACAGGATGATGCAGGATTTACTCACAATAATCCCCCTGTCCTTGTCCAGAAAAAAAAATTCATGTTAAGGAATGTTGGTTTGGCATGATTAATCATGACTAATCGTGATTAATCTGCAGCTATACTAGTTAGTTAGTTAGTTAGTTAGTTAGTTAGTTAGTTATCCACTCTCGACTCAGTGTTTGTCAACAGATCATCTCATCAGCTCACACTCACACTGACTCCATTCACATTTAATTATTGTCAATTTCTGCACAGTCAGCGTGAAATTATTCCAATCACGTGACTCCGGCTCTGGATGGATTCAAGCCCCTCCCACCTCGCTCCTCTTCTCCTAGTTGAAGCGATGGTCTGTGCTGTGAGTGTGTGTGTCCATTGTCCTCCATGTTCACAGATCACACGCTGCGAGCTGTGATGTAACCGGCCCAGTTTTGGCCCGTGAAGACTGCCTCAGAGGCGTGTTGACCATGAAATCTGCATTTTAAATGTTGAAGGAGTGTGTAGCTGCCTGCTGATTTTGCCTTCAGCGCCATCCTACAGGTGTGTAGATGTACTGCAACTGTCTTCTCTGTCAATTAAAGCATATATAAAAAAGAAGAGACATTTTCAAAAACGTTAAACTGGCGAAAGACAACTGCCAATTGTTGTGGAAAAAACATCTGGATGGCAGACCATGGGCAGGACCGGGTGACGCTCTAAAACCATTCCCTACTCCAGGAATGTTCAATATTTAATTTGTACACTCAAAATTATGAATGAAATGCGCCCCGTAGCCAAAACTTGCAATGTTGAGAGAGAGTTGCTGTTACTGTACATTTGGTTAACGTTGAACCAGTGAAAAGGTCATCTTCCTGTTGTCAGACCAGGGCCTGGACCACATCTTCCAACATGTGGCCCACATTGGATACTTGAAAAAGAAAGAAAATGGATCCAATGGGACATAGTATAATACAGTAGTACTGCATGTGCTGTATTGTATGTCATATGATGTTTATTACTTATATATAGGCTTATACTGGGTCGTTGTTGCAGAGATCTAGTGTATATAGAACAGACATCTATGAATGTACATGTCAGCTATACAAATGTCAAGCCATAAATGCCCTGATAAAGGAGCAATCATTTTTGAAAGTGCCACTGACACTGCTGGCCACTATATATATTATATATTTACATCACAATTAGTCACGATTAATCAGATTAAAAATCATTTATGTAGTTGGTATAAATATATATATTATATATTTTATTAAAATCATTATATCAATGATGCATTTTGATTAATTCTGCAAATGGTTGTTTGTTTGTTTATATAATTCCCTCTGATCAGATTAAGAACATCTTGTTTACTCACAGCCTTCACTGATATCTGTCCATTAGAAATGACAGCACTATGAGAATGTTGTTTAATGACGTTTCCATCGGCCACACTCAGGCCTGAGTGCTGCCTTGTCTCAGCTGCAGAAGCACAACACATGGTCCTGTCTGCCACGCTGCTTGTCACAAGTGTCATGTGATGTGAGAGTGAATGGTGTCCAGTGTGGGTATCAGTGTGCTGACAGGAAGGAAGGGTGTCTCCGTCTAAGACTTCCTGTCCTGCTGTGTGACTCGGTGTCTCTCCTCACGCTGCTCTTTTCCCTGTTTCCTTCGCTCCTCCCCTCGTCATCTCCTCCAGCCAATGCAGGGGGCCGCTGTGGACCCATTTGGAGTTTGCGATATTTGTCATTGCTGGCTTCCCCTGATAAAGGTTATGGTCAGCTTTTAGTCTAAAGGTTGCTAGTTTGAATCCCCAGACTGGCAGAGTTGTGCTTGGACAAACAGCTGTCATGTTAGAGGTGTCTTCTAAAAAATACGTGTATAAAATGGAGCCTGTTTATGGAGATGTCTCAAGGTTGTGAGGAAACCTGATTTACGGGTGGTCATGTAGAGAGCTGACCACTTTTGACTCATGATGGTGAAGTCACAGCCAAACAGGCAAGTGCTGCATCAGAACTGGAAACAAATCCATCCATGCTTCACTCTTCCAGGAAGTTACTGTGCTCTGCTGAAGAAGGCTCTTGGATGAGAGACGAAACGTCTTCTAGAGAAAATGCGTCCTCTGCCTTTAACCTGTCTGGTAAACAGGAGCAGTGGGCTGTACTGAAGAGCTGTGTAGACTTTTGTTGTTTGCTTAACAACAGTAATCAAACCAGCGATCCTCCAATCAGAAGACTGATCCTCGGACCACCAGGACACAGGCTGCAAAACTGAGCAATTCCATCCATCTCCTGTCCACCCTCTGGACATCACATGTTCTTCTTTCTGTCCGTTCACTGGACCCCCCGACCCCCCCACCCCCTCTTCCCTCCTTACAGTACCACCGTCATCACCTCCTCTCTATGGCCCTGCTCTCACAGCTGAGCTCTGGGACGTCGTTCAGCTTCTGCAAACTTTTTAACTTCAGAAAAAGAGAAAGTCTGTAGTGGATTGTTGTGTCACAGCATTCCTCGCACATTTTACGTAAGCCCTGACATTTGGCTGATGTGTCTGTGAAAAGACACTCTTCTCTAATTGTTGTTGTGCTGTGTGTGTGTCGGCCTCACTCTGGACCTCCTCTCTCTGACACTGTCTGTGTGAACGTGTGAGCCTCTGTTCCTAAGACATTGTGTGTGTTTCTGGTGCAGCTATACTTGTGGGGACACTTTGTCCTTGAACAGTTATGGTTAAAGACGAGGCAGCGCACTGTGTCTAACAAATAACGTGTGTTCCTGCGCGCGTTTGTGTTGGTTGTACAACAAGACATCTGCAGGTCATAGATAAATCCTCCGTACTCCGTAAGGCTGTGTACACACACACACACACACACACACACACTTCCACACAAACCTAGCTCAGTGTCAGTATCGTGTTCAGTAATTAGTCTGGACCTTGACATCTTTCTCCTCTCTTGTTGTGTAACATCAGAACTCACCCTGGTCCAACAGCCATCACTGGTCTCCTTTCCCTTCAACCATCAGTCTGACTGAGGTTCTGGGCTCTAACTGTTTGTAGTGATGTACAGAGGTATGAAGAAGTACAAGTAAACTTCCTGTTGTTTTCTTTGTTTGGTTTTGTTTCTGCAGTGATTCTGTTTCAAGTTCTCCTAGATTGAGTCACAAAGACGGTCCGTCATTCACCAATCGCTGTGGCAACGTCGCTCACATTGATACAACCATCGTGGCTACCTCTTAACTTTGTCTGTCCGTTCCTCCCTCCTCACCTGTTGTACGTCTGTGTCCCCTCTGTGGCAGCAGACTGTGTTAAAAAAGAAAGGTCAGTGCAATCAAAGTACTCTGCTGCTCCTGCGCTGCTGCGTCCTCTCCTCCTCTCTGATACTCTCTCACAGATTAGACCTGAAGCCACATCCCTGGAGAACAACAGTAAAACATTTGATTTGGAAACGTAGAGGAGGGCTGTCTGCATGTGGCACGATCTCCCCCCTGCCTCACCCCCACTCCCTTTACCCCGACTGCATCAAAACATGACATTAAGACACGGATGAGGGCACAGCTGGAGGAGGAAAGGGAGGAAGACGCACAAAGAGAAGCAGAGAAGGAGACGCTGGTGAAGAGAGTTTTGGAATTTATTTTGATGACTGATGTTTCAGACGGTGAGACGAGGACACGCAGGAGGGAGGTGAAAAGAAGGAGGTGAACAGTGAGGTGGAGGAGGACAACGACAGCCACGGAAATAAAGAGAGAAAAATAACAAAAGCCACAGCAATTTTAATATGAAAGTGAATTTCAGAGGTGGTCCGGTAGTTTGGTCGCCATGACAACAACACACTTAAAACAGCGTTTAAATGTTGCTGTCTGCACCCGTCTGTTGAATCTCTCTCTGGCTGAGCACTATATAATTACACTGCGTACCAGCTCTAACCTGCCCACGTCATTGTACACTGTACTGCGTTTGCTGTGTGATGTGATATCAGAAAATAGTTTTTATTTCAGGTACAACTGCAGCTCAGTCAGCCTCAATGTTACAGCTGACAATAAATCAGGAACCAACTGTGAAATGTCAAGTTCTGGAAGTATGTTCTGAAGCAGTCAGAGAGGTAGTATTTAGACTGCAGTATCATGGTAGTAGCTATTGAATTTTTATTATTATCATTTATTTCAGACAATCACCTATAAATTATCTACATGTCCTTAAAAGACCATGCTTTCATTGGTGGGAACTTACTTTTCTGAGAAGATACAACTTGTTACTTCGGTGTCCTTAAGACCGTCATCCCACGTCTCCTGGATCAGGTCTCAGATGTAGAGAATGAATAAATGGATGGATTTGATTGGACCCTGATCCTGACGTCGGTCTTTACTGGGCAGAAGATGAACAGACAACATTCTCTGTGCATTTGCAAAAACGAGTGTAAAACAAAGAGTTGAAATGATGATAATCAGGTTTATTCAGTCTGGAACTGCTCCAGTAGGAGGCACTAGGACTGGAGACTCCTTCACGATGTTCATGTCTGTGAAAAAAGACTGTGTTATTTCTGACATTTCATTAAGAGAGTGTTTCATTTTTTCATCCTCCATCTAATCACCTCCTCCTCAGGTTCCTCTCTCAGTGTTTGGTGTTATAATTGCACTTCCACCGTGGGTTCTTTTCCAAGGTGCAGAGCTCTAAATGTGTCAGGCTCCCCGTGGGTTATTTGTCTATTTCCAGAGAACCGTGGGCGGCGCGGAGCAAGCGTTCAAGCCAGGACAGGATGGAGATGTTCTCTTGACGATGTAACAGCTGCAGAGACGGAGACGTTCATGCTTCAGAAGAGATAAGAATCAAAGTTCAAATACAAGGAGCCGCGTGAAGTCAAGGTCAAAGGTTCAAATGAGCACGACGGGATTAAATCAGATATAAATACGTTCACGCTCAGTCTGGGTTTGAGAAAAAGGTGTGAGGAAATATTTTACTAAAAAGATGGGATCTCCTTCTCTCCATCTCCTCCATGTCTCAGTCTGCTCTCTTCTTCAGTGGGGTTTCCATCAGGAGGATGACCTTTGACACCAGCTCACAACCAGCTCCTTTATCTGATTTAAAGACTGGAATACACTTCCTTTAATCATCACATGGTTCTAGATCACAACCTGTGGATGAACTGGTTTACAGTCCAGTTTTTTTCTCATTTGTAAATACTTTGTTTTTGAGTTGTTAAATAATCAAAATCCACACAGATGAGGCTGATAAGGTTCACTGTTCACTCAGAACTGACCACAGGTGTGAATGTGAGTGGAAACGGTGGTTAACATGTTGCTATCTAAAACAAAAAATCACACCACCTCAGCTGTGAATTCCTATACTGTGAGTTCATGCTCCAGGCCTACTGGGTCTCTCTCTCTCTCACACACACACACACACACACAGGCCTGCAGTTCAAGAGATAGGGTTAGGTTTCATGGCTCGCGGGCAGGTACTATTGTAGCTGTTAACAGGAAACTAAAATGTGTTTGGTGTGTATGTGTGTGTGTGTGTGTGTGAGAGAGAGAGAGAGACAGACAGACACACACTGAGAGAGAGATTTGTTTCCTCGTTCTGTCAGGTTTTGATTGGTTCCTCAGAGCCACTGTTTGATAAGTTTCTTCTGTACTGAACACACTCAGATAAGGGTTTCTGCACCAGTCACACACACACACACACACACACACACAGGACAGTGGTGTAACTGTACTCACTGGCACCATTGTACATGATTAAATGAGCGCTCTGTCACAGACACACTGACCCGGCTCTGCTCTCTGTGCATCTCATTGATTTAAAAAGAGGGTTTTTTATATTTAAAATATCCTGTTTGAAAAGAAAATGTTTCAGAGATTGCTGTTATTTATTTCTCCTCTGAGATGCTGGCTTAATTCTGTGGTTGTTTTTATTGTAACGTTTATTACATTAAATTGAACACGTGTGATGTCAGATGTTAATGAAATGATCTGTTATCTCAGTGCAGGACATTTATCCAATGTCTGTCCAACAGTGTTGGTGTTGCATCTCTGCTCTGTGGAGCGTCGTCTGGTGGAGTGAACCCACCTGTCCTTCACACCGGGCTCTTTTTTTACTTGTTTAAAGGTGTTCAAAAAAAGTCCATCATGTTTCACAGTGTAACAGCTCATCCAGGAGTGGATGTTGTCTCCACTGCGTCGTCCTCAAAGAGGGTGAGGGGGAGATGGGGGGGGGTGGTCTGAATGTGGTGAAGGCATGAGTCACAGTGTGTGGGAGCAGAGAAAATGAGATTAGTGTGAACCTTCCAGCAATTTATCTCTCTGAAAAGAGGGACACATCCATCAGTATAGATGATAGAGAAATGACATGGTGTCCATCTGTCCGTCTGTCTGTCTGTCTGTCTGTCTGTCTGACTGTCTGTCTGTCTGTCTGTCTGTCTGTCTGCCTGCCTGTTTGTCTGTCTGTCTGTCTGTCTGCCTGTTTGTCTGTCTGTCTGTCTGCCTGTCTGTCTGCCTGCCTGTCTGTCTGCCTGTCTGTCTGTCTGCCTGCCTGTCTGACTGCCTGTCTGTCTGTCTGCCTGTCTGCCTGCCTGTCTGTCTGTCTGCCTGTCTGTCTGTCTGTCTGCCTGTCTGCCTGTCTGTCTGTCTGCCTGCCTGTCTGACTGCCTGTCTGTCTGTCTCTCTGTCTGACTGCCTGTCTGTCTGACTGCCTGTCTGACTGCCTGTCTGTCTGACTGCCTGTGTGTCTGTCTGCCTGTCTGACTGCCTGTCTGTCTGACTGCCTGTGTGTCTGTCTGCCTGTCTGACTGCCTGTCTGTCTGACTGCCTGTGTGTCTGTCTGCCTGTCTGACTGCCTGTCTGTCTGACTGCCTGTTTGTCTGTCTGTCTGTCTGCCTGTCTGTCTGTCTGACTGCCTGTCTGTCTCACTGCCTGTCTGTCTGTCTGCCTGTCTGCCTGCCTGTCTGTCTGTCTGCCTGTCTGTCTGCCTGCCTGTCTGTCTGCCTGTCTGTCTGACTGCCTGTCTGTCTGTCTGCCTGTCTGACTGTCTGTCTGTCTGTCTGTCTGTCTGACTGTCTGTCTGTCTGTCTGCCTGCCTGTCTGACTGCCTGTCTGTCTGACTGCCTGTGTGTCTGTCTGCCTGTCTGACTGCCTGTCTGTCTGACTGCCTGTCTGACTGCCTGTCTGTCTGTCTCACATGCACCAATGCTATCCATGCTTTACCGTCTATTTCCCTCTAAACCTGCCTGTGAATGACGGTTTGACACCGCGTCCTTTGGATATTGACAGGAGAACACTGTATGACACAGTGAACTGTGTCATACAGTGGCTGTGTGTTTGATGTTGAAAATGAGAAAATTAGCCCGGTGGCTAAATCTTAGGTGTCAGCATCATCACAGTAAAAAACCATCTGAGCAATCTGACCTTTGACCCCTGAGGCTGCTCATGCTGTGTCACTTCCATTAGGTGTGAACTATCAGGATTTCATGCTACTCTGCTTTACACACACACACACAGCATGACAACAGACACCACAGTCATTAATGACACACACGCTTCATCTGCTGAGTGGGTTTGGAGCCCAGGAGGGTCAGGACTTCTAGTCATAAAGAAGAGAAATGGCCACACGGTGGACAAGGGGGGAATGTTGTTACCTGTGTCTGTCTATACCAGGGGTGTTAAACTAGCTTTGGTTAATTAAAAGTCAAGTGGGCCGGACCAGTACATTTAAGACATGATTACCTATAAATAACAATACATCCATGTTTTTTCCCTCTGTTTTCATGCAAAAAAGTACAAGTTTCTTAAAATATATTTATGTTCAATGAAATATCATTTGACAAAACATCACAACACATTAAGTGTTTGTGTTTTTTTTTTTACTTTCAAAATTCATCAAGAGGGCCGGATAGAACCTCGTGGTGGGCCGATTGTGGCCCACGGGCCTTATTTTTCTCTCTTCTCTCACATGACCCTGACAAGGACGATACAGGCGAAGGTGAATGAAGGAGAAAGCATCAAATCCTACAACTGTGCATGGGGAAAAATTATTTTCACAGTTTTGTCTCTGGTGAAGACGTTCCATCACAGCATTGACAATGTTATCAGTAACAGAGGGTGTTTTATAACAGTACTGAGTCCCACTGACAGTGTAGTTCCTGCAGATGTACCGACGTGGACACAATCATTCTTCTTGGCATGATCCGGGATATTCCATGGCTGATTTCACTGCAGATGTTGGTCCTCCTAAGGACAGCAGCTCAGACATCTGTGGAAAAAAACATTCCTATATTCCAGAAGAAGAAGAAGTAAATGTTGGTATGAGTAGATGAGCTGAAAACATTTGACAGTAGAGGTTTTCCTGCTTCTTTTCCACTTTTTGTTTTATATTATCTTCTTTGAATAAAGATTTTTTTATAACAAGAAGTATTTGAACAGAACCTGTGTTCAAATGTCAAACTGTACCTGGAGAGGCTGCAGGGAGAGCTTAGAAAGATTTATTTTCATGTCAGGAGTCGGTTCATTAGAAGTTAAGACTTGTCCCTCAAGCATGCATCAGTTCAGCAGACGTGGTGTTTTCACCTTTCAGCTGAAAGTTCATTCCTGACAACAGAGGAAGTAAATGATCATTTAAGGAAACAAGTGGCTTCACCAACCAGAACTACAGTACAGAACCTTCGACTTCCTCTGTGGAGGTGGAGCAGAAGTGCAAACAATTAGAGGGGGAAAAAAACACAGATTTGGTGGAAGGTAAAGGTGATTATCGTGTGGTGAAGGTCAGTGAAAAAGTCCAGTTAAAGTCAAAGAGACACGTTCAAAATGACACTTCTCTCTCAGACACAGAGGAGTTTCATTCTCATGTTTCCAGCAGTGCATTTATTAACTGGCGTAACCCTCTAATTAGAGCAAGGATGGAAAAACAGCTATAAATCAGTCAAGACTTTTCAGCAAATGTCAAAACAGTCAGACAAAGACAAGCACGGGTGAAAATATGAGGCAGGAGAAGAAGAGAAAACAGTCAGGGAGTGGTGATGACGAACACATGAACAGACACACCCCACACACTAAGAAAATACTACTGCATTACACTTGTTCACCACACGATGGCAGACTTCAACAACTTCTCATTTAAGACGACGAACGAACAAAAAACAAATGAAAAACACGCAGATAAAAGCAGGATGTGACGACATTTTATTTGCTAATAGTTAAGGTATTAAATACAGTTTATGTGTTAACACCGCAGTCAGATAAAAATATAACAAACGTTCAATGTTATATATTCACACTCTCGTCAATTATTTAGCAACGTGTTCGTTCAGCTGATGTTTTTATAGATTTTTTTATTGACAGTCATGAATCAACTTCCGTCAAGTTTTAGTTGTATTTTATTGACCGTCAGTCCGAAAAAAACAACAACATCCAATCACACCTAGATAAAATATTTTCATTTTTTTAAATCACCCAACAGTTTGTTGTTTGTTTCATCTTCTTTTTTATAATGTCAGAAAACGTTTAATAACACAACAAACATCAGACAATTATACAAACAGACATGGCATCATTTCCTTATTGAGCACAACCACACTCGACAGGTGCAGAGGTGGATTTCACCGTCGTTTTTCACTGTTTCTGCACTGGCATCTTTGACATCACTCGGTAATCAACACTTTTATCAAATACTAAAATAATCAAATGCAAAAATGTTTCATCAAAACATTGTTCTTTCCACTCGTGCATCAGTTTTCCACTGTCCCAGAAACTGGACACGGATCGTGTCTCCTCTGTCCACACAACGGTGAAACTCCAGTAATAGATTATCTGGAGTTGAAGTAGAAGATATTTACAGTACATCTGAAGATTACTACGGTTCTATTTATTTTGAAGTTTAACTACCGCTCGTCTGAAGTTCTTCACAGATTATCTAATCTATTTCGTCAAAGTTAATCTACACGTCATCAGGAATAAAGAGTTAGTTAATCTGCAGTTTATCAAGTTCCAATCTGGAGATAGTTTAGAAATAATCCAAAATTGATCAGTACTTAATCTACACATCATCAGACATTGATCTTCAGTTAATCAAAGACAAATCTGAAGTGAACTGATAAATAACCAACAGTTGATCCAGAGGTCATCTACCTATGGTCTGAGGTTAATCCCTGTTGTTTCTGGTACAGTGGACAACAACAAAACGTCATCTCACATAAATATGATCTTTTTTTAAAATAGTTCCTTTGAAACAATGTGCATTTTAAATATAAAATATTTTTTAGCTTTTTTTCTCACACACCCAGAAAATCATCACATATTTTGTTTTTCTATAAAAGAAAAAACATTTTTACAGCACGTTTGGGTCGTAGTGTGGATTTCATTTCCTTTTTTTCACACAGTGAAGACTTTATAAACTTTTCTCTCTTTACAGCTTTGTGCTTCACAACGGACCTTTAAAAACATCCGTCAGTTACAAAAATAACAGTAGAAAGACAACAACGTGCTACACCTGTGTGTGTGTCTGTGTGTGTGGGGGGGAGTTATATTCACTGTCTCCATGGTAACTAGCCTGACTTCCAGTTTGTAGAACCAGAAGCTGAGACAACGTGGATGTAGACGTCCCTGGAATGAACAATTGACCTCTGTCGTGGTTCTTAATCTAGATGTTTACTGATGTGTCAAAATTCTGTTGGCCGCCACTTTGTCAGTTTGTCGTCTGTCGTCCAGCGTTTACTGCCGTTTTTAATCACATGAATAGAAATTAAAGCAGTGATTTGAAAACATTAGACAACCTCGGAAATGTTTTCACCCAAAAATAATGAACCACAGCTTCGACTGACTTCCACTTAAATGTAGTTGTTTCTGCTACCAGTGAGGTCACCTCCTGGTAGAGAACTGCTACAGTACTATGGGGGCTTCACCTATGGAACTAAATAAATCTGACTCTAACAGTAGAGAAATAAATAAATAGGAACGTATGGAATATGGAGCGAAAGAACCAGGAATGAATGTGTGTGTTCCTGGTATAGCTATGCTTGTACATATTTCAGGTCTTTGAGGTTCAAGATTTAGTCTGGATTAGATTTATGGTCAGATTAAAGTTGGGATCAGGATCAGGATTAGGCAAATATCTGTAATAGTTAAGGTGAGGGTCGCGGCTACTGTAGCTAATGCATGTGTGTGTGGTGTGCTCACAAAGCTCAAAAACCTGTATGACACAATATTACTGGATGTTTAATTTAAAGAAATTAAAATAATTACTGCAACTGATTTTGTAAGAATGTAAAGTATACAAAGAAAGTCATCACTATAAATTTAAATCAATACTGAGTTTAAAAGTCCATGCTTCGAACGGTCTGTGATTAAAGTTTGTTTTCTTTTGTCTATAATTTCATCTTTTAATTTAAAGGTCCAGTGTACAAAAAAACCTCCAATAACGCCTCGATTGGAATTAGATTTTTTTACTTTGTACCAGCGTTGAAAGAATAGCATAATTCTAATTGTTTCCCAGAAGGCACTTGTTTACATAAAAGTACTATTAATTTGAATTGTACTTCAGTCTACACTATATAATTTCTGTACATCTTTCCAGACTGTATTCTATTTGTGTTGTAGTAGTATTACCAGTAGTATTAGTTGTAGTAGTATCGTCATTGCTTTTAACTTTTTTTCCTAGAACACTATTTATTTTTGTCATGAGACTATGAACTTTTTAAGCAACAGCGCCACCTTGAAGCCCGTTGATATATTGAAAAACTGTTAAAGCTCCCCCTGCTGGGTGGATAAGTGAAGTGAGAGGCCGTCATCCAGACTAATGAATAACACCACAGGTCTACTGTTGTCTCCAGGTTCTGGCCTCTGCTCTGAGCTCTGCCTCAGATGGACGTGTCCCAGAAGACAGTGGTGTTGTGTCCTGTGGCTCCGGCAGATGCTGGGGCTGAATATGGCGGTGGGTGTTTCTTCTTCCAGCTGGGCAGGATGGGCATACTGTCCTGTTTACACAGATTCTTCTCAGGCCGCTGACGGGCCTTGATTTCCCGACACAGAACTCTCTTCTTCTCGATCATCTCCATCATGGTGGAGTCTCCACAGAGCCACGGCATCTGAAGGTGGAGAAGAACTCGACATCAACATGTCCACAACCTGCTGGACCTGAGTGTCCGTGTTATTTGTGTGTGTGACTGTCTAATCTTACTAATCTAATGATCAGACTGATAATCTAATGATGAGATTACTGATCTCATTAGTCATTAGATCATAACGATATATATTCATATTCTATAATAATTGTAAACACATTTTCTCCATGTTCATCTTAATTGAAATATTTTAAACATATCATTGACTTTAGCTACATTTTGGTTACTGGACACTGAGACGTCAAAGTCAGACAGTAGAACACAAGTAGATCATTTTTAAAAAAGACAAACAGAGGAAACAAAAAGAGACAGATGAGAAGACAGACAGAGAGAGAGAGACGGGACACATACGAAGACCAGCGATAGACAAATGGACATACAGTGTGGACAGACAGGCGTCAAGTTTATTTAATTTTTTTTCTCTTTCTTTTACATTTAAAGCTGTTCACAGGTGTCGCTTCAAAACAGTACAAAAACAGTTTTAGGAATAAATGTTTCCCTTTGGGAGAATGGATTTTTAGTGAGTTAGTGAACATGGGTGAAGCCAAGGTTGTGATGATAAGGAAGATCGTTTTTTATTACTTTAAATCTTTAAAGGGGAAAAAAGTTTTCCTGTCTTTTTATGTGGCTTTAAAAGTACAGAAAAACACTCTGTGGTTAGACATACTGTAGTATTAGAGGGGTCTCAGAGTTCCAGGAGTTTCAACGGGAAAGAAAAACCAGCGAGTTGCATTGAAGTGTGGAAGAGTATTTAAATTTTTTTAAAAAGTTTTTTATCTGTGAACAAACCAAACAATGATGTTGGTATAAAAACATCATTTTCTGTTTAAATATGTTGCTGTCTTTATAGCTGGTTAGGTAGCAGTAGGTAAATGCTTTATTATTTTTATAATAATTACCTACTGCACAGAACTGGTCGGTTTGTCTCCTTTTTTAAGTGCGCTCCTCTCGGCCGTTTCTCTCAGTTCATGTTGTTGGGGTTAAGTATTTTCCATAAGGTCTGAACTTTGGTGTTTTTCTTCTCTGATATAAAGTGCAGCGTGCGTTTGGATAACGTTTGTTTATTTAGTGCTAAAAACATAAGTGATGTTGTTTTTGTTACTGATGGCGGGGCTTTTGCAACAGGTTGTGGTTTTATGTAAAATGTCCTTTTCTAATATTATGCCATTTTAAATCAATTTTTTCTAAATTCTGTTCTTATGTTGTTTGTCTGCTGAGGCAAATGCTGGTGAATGATAATTCTAATTTGTATTGTCCTTTACACTTCAATAGGTTTATATGATTATACTTTATATATGTGACTGTACATGAGAGCAGTGTTGGTGATGAGCAGTGGTTATTAGGTTATGGCTGGATCTTTATATATACATACGTATATCTGCAGGGTTAGTGTTTGCTCATGCTTGAAGTCGTTGTTGGCTGAATGTTAGTTTAAGGTTAGTATTAATGAGCTCCAATGTTAGTATTCATACTTCATTACAAAAACAATATTTTAAACAACAAATACTTTACAAATACTGTATTTAGATATACAAAAGTTTACTTTAAATAAAGTAAAAAAACAGGCTCCATCACTAAAGGGTTAACACACTTATTTGTTTGACTGTTTAATATTTGGTTCTGTTGACTCAGTTGAGTTGTCAGTCGGCTGACGCAGCGAAGCTTCTGTCCCTTTATTAAGTTTTATGCTGTGTTATTCTGTGAAGCTGAATCCTGTGTGAAATAAAAATGGTTCATAATAAGACACACATATACAGACACATACACACACACACACACACACACAGGTCAGGAGCCGTGTCACAGGAGTACCTGGCTCAGGGCGTGCTGATGGGCTTCGTGCAGATGACGATAAGGAGTTCCTCCAGGTGAAGAGACTCCGGAGGTGGAGGCCGAACGTCCCAGTTTACCCACAGACACCGACTCTAAGAATGAAGACAAATGACATCAGCGCGGGGAGGAAACATCTGGAATCTTCTCCTGGTTTGTACCTTCTCCATATGCCTGCTCCTGTTTGGACTTTACTCACCTCCTCCTCCACCACACAGCATCATCGTGGGGCTGACAGACGACCTCCCCCTCCTGCTGGATCCTGGACTGGATCGTCCTTCTCTGTCTCTGCTGTCATGTCTGGGAAGTGACCTGTAACCTACTGTGATCCAAAAAACACACCTACCTTCAGAACCAGAATCAATTCCAGAAAGATTCCAGGATTTCTTCCCAGGTGTCAGCTGATAACCTACCTTCACCTTCCCTGCTCTTCCTGCCTCCCGACTCTCTCCTCACTGCTTGTTTACCTGAGGTAAACAGGTTGTTCACATTGTCCAATGGGCTCGTTGGCGTCTGTGACCTCGCTGACACGTTCTGCATGGAGCTGTGGATGTTGGAGGAGTTACTGAGTTTGGGTTCCACTTTGTGTGATGATGAGGATGAGGAGCGAGGCATGCTTCCTCCAGCTGCCAGTGTGTCATAGGGCGGGGGCCTCTTAAGGCTCAGTGGGGTCAGAGGGCGACTCATGCTGACTGGAGACGGACATGCTGAGTGACTGCGTGGGTAACCATGACCACCGTGAAGAGAGTCTGAAGACTTGTAGTAGTTGGACGGTAGTGGTGGAGCCGAGGAGCGTCCAGAAGATGTGATGGTGTGGTTGGAGGAGTGTTCTCTGTCCACTTCTCGTTTTCGGTCTCGGTCTCTGTCCTTGCTACGGTGAGCGTGGTGCTGGGGGTGTTCCACACCACCTGATTTATAGGAGACGTTCTCCATCATAGGCAGCCGGGTGACGTCCATGGGTGTGAGGGGGGACTCATCAGAGTTAGGCGAGCACTGAGCTGGTGCAGGAGGGAATACGAGTAGAGGAGGTCGGTGAGTCAGGAGGTTAGGGAAGGGTGGAGGGATGTCACACAGAGACCCACAAGACCAGATCTCAGAGTCCATGATGGCAGAGTGAGCGTCCTGCAGAAGGTCGTCCAACACTGGGTACTTCATCTCCTCGTACACCGACTCATTCTGCTCGTCCTCCAACACTTCCTGACCCTTCATCTCACGCAAGATGTTTCCCACCATTTCAATATAAACCGGTTCCTCGTCATCCATGTCCCTGGATCCTGGACTTTGACTCTGAGACGAGGATTTGTCCAACCGTACAGAAGACTTCCTGCTGGCATGATCATGTATGTAGGACTCATCGAAGGAGGTGCTGAGCTGCGTGTTTGGGTTTCTCTTCGGTTTGGGCGGAGGCAACTTCCTGTAGTCTTCAGAGTAGAAAGGACACTGAGCTGTGGACATAGACATGCAGGGATGACAGCATTTCCTCTGTTAATTCCTAATTTATTTAGCTAAATATTTGTAAAACCACATTTAAATACCCCTCAAAAATGTGAGACAGTCAGATCCAAATCTCCAGCTAAACTAATTCCTCTCATTCATCCACTCTAAATCCATTTTCAACATCACAGTGGGGGTTGTCCTCACCCTCCATGTGGTCTGCTGTGTCTTTGCCCTCCTGCTGGTCTCTTCTGAGTCCAGATCCTCCGTTCACCATCTCAGAGCTGCTGCTCAGTTTGGTGTTGGGGTCTCTCTTGGGCTTGGGTGGTGGTTGTTTTCGGCTTTGGTTGGACTCGTCTTCGCCCCCACCAACAGAGTGGAGGGACTGGGATCGGACTGTGAAGCCTTGGCTCGGAGGGGGCAGCCGGTCTTGTGGCACTGGCATCGTCATGAAACCTATCCTGAAATGTTTCCCAGAGTATGACACATCAGGTACCATGGAAACATCTTCACCAATCCTGAGAAGATGAACAGACAGCAACCATCATCCTCTCTACAGTCACAGCTCACCAGACTTCAGCCAGCACCGACTTCAGTCAAATCTACCTGTTGATGGCGTCGTCCTGTCTTCTCTTCTTCTGGTGCTTCTCCTGCAGGTACGTCCAGTTGGTCTGGTTGCGAACACGATCACTCTCCCGTGCGATGTCTGAAGCATTTTGAATCACCAGTCCGTCGTAGGTTCGAAGACCACTGTCTTCCACATACTGGAAAAACCTCCTGAAGGAAGACGCCTCCTGCTGATACATTGTGAGACCTGCAAGAAAGGTCAGAGGTCGTTTAGAAAATATTTATGAACAAAATCAAACAAAAGTACACAGAGACGTTGTGTTCAGTGTATCTTCGTCATTGTACCTCTTAGAAAACTCTCCGTCTGACTGACACTACAGTTTTTTACGACTCTGCAGCTTTTTATCACACCGTAGCTTCTTTATGTTCTGTTCAGCTTCCTGCACCAGAGTAGTTTCTCACAATACTGTTGTTCGATGCTGTGCTTCCTGACAGTGGTGGCAAACTTTAATGATGCTTTAGATGCCTGTGACACTGAGTATTTTTACTTCCCTACAGAAAGGACAGGTACCATGAACTAGTACCAAAAACATTTTCAATTATGTACTTTTCCATATTACTTTTACTTTATACATATAAAGTATCATTGTGACTCATTATGATACTGTTGCTTTATCTTTATCTTATTAGCATCTTAGCAGTCTAACAATCGAACAACATCGTAAAGCGAGGGTGGGCAAACGTTTTGGCTCAAAGCCCAAAATTAGGTTCAAAATTTGACTGGCTGGTTGCTTCAGTATTGGTTGGATGTAAAATGCTGGGGAAAATAATATAAATAAAATGTAGAAAAAAATAAATCTGTCAAAGATAATTTGGCACAGAAATTACAGTCTATTTGTTGTAATCCATTAAACAGAACGATTGACGTCAGTCTTGACCATACTGTTTAACCAGTGTTTGGTGGGCCGGATTAGAAGGCCCACCGGTCCATATCTGGCCCGTGAGCCGTAGTTTACCAAAGTCTGATGTAGACTCTTGTTGCCCAGTGGCTTGTGTGGATTTTGTAACGCTGTACTTGTCAGATTTGTTCAAACCTCCGTCCTGATTTTAATGCAACAACTGATAATTGTGTGTCTTACTCACCCTGACGCCCCTTCTCTCCCCCTCCCTCTCTTAGTCTGACCTTCACTCATTCACTCATTCATTCACTCTATCGTTTCCCTTCCCCCATCCCTCTGTCTCTCATCTTTCCTCTAAAAATGGATCAGGGAGTCAGCTGGTGGTAACCTAGCAACAGTAGCATCTCCCGGAGGAGTATGATGTAATGCTTCCTGTACAAGAGGAAAGGCGAATAAAAAGGAGAAACTAGAAGAATCAGGAGAGACAAACCTGAGTTCACTGTGTGTATTGGTTTTTTTATTATTTGTTTTTTTTTTTTGGTGTGTATTGTTTTTTTTATTATTTGGTTTTTTTTTTTTTGGGGGGGGGGGACACATTTAATGTTGTTAGTCTTCTCTGTGTGGTCACGATACATAAAAAACAGATCATGACCTCTGACACCAAAGCTCCGCCTCCATCCCAGCACACCTGTCAATCATGTGTTCCAAACATTCCAAATGTATCTGATGACACCTGTCAGAGAGGAACCGTCAGAAGAGGTTTCTCAGTGTTGCTGATCACAGTCACTTCCTGTTTGACTTTTCACCCTCAACCACATTTCTGTTGACTTAATGGTTTATCTTATCATTCATGTTCACTTGTCTTTTAGGGCGTTTGTTAAATGTGTGTATCAGTGATTCAAAACAACAGCCTGGTTTAAAAAAAAAGGTAAATATGGGTCTGGAACTTTTACTTTGAATTCAAGATGGCGGTCGTGTTACAGCTGCTGATTTACAGAGGAGCTGGCAGCGGAGCAGCCACGTCTGTTCTGAACCAACTTTATTGATAATGTCGGTGACAGAGAACAAAAAGGTGGAAATGGTCGGCAAATGAAATTCAAATGAAAATCGAGGGTAGCTTACCAAAGGTTCACTGAGTAATCAGACTCCATCCATCACTCCTTCACCTTATCCTTTGCTGACTCCTTCACTACCTCCTTCCCTCCTTCACTGTCTCCTCTGCTGCTTCCTTGCCTGCTTCAGTCCTCCACCCTTGTGCAGTAACGATGATGGACCGATGAAGAGTCCTGCTGTCGTCACAGATATGCAGCTGCAGAAAGCCGCGACTCACTGCAGTGACAGTAATCCCCGGCACCTCTGTTCTCCCTCTCCTTGTCTCCTTTCCTTCTCTCCTCTGTCCTTATCTCATATATTCTCACCTCTGTCAGAATTACACACACGCACACAAACACCCTTCAGCCCCACACACTCAAACACGCACACGCGCATCCTCGGCGACAGTCACCACAAGAAATGGGAGGCTGAAACCACGGCAACCAAGCAGCATCCTCACCCTGCTGACTCCTCCTCCTGCTGCCGGGGTGGGGGGGGGTATTTATTTCTCCGTTACTCTCTTCTTTTACCTCTGTGTGTGTGTGTGTGCTTTTGTATGTGTGCTCATTTCCTACATGATGCTGATAATGACATCAACTGGTGAGATGTCACGTGATGCTTTATCACCATGACATCATATGATGTCACAGACCGTCTGCAGGAAGGAATTTGTCCGCTGGGGTTGTGTTCTCAGATTTGATGGTATTTGTGCAGAGGAGAAATGAAAAGGATGCATTAATAAACCATAATGGAAGCCAGCTGCCGTACAGTTTAGGACGAAATTATAGGACCCTCATGAAAATTTAAATCTCCCTAAGTATTCCCTAAGTGCACATATACAGAGCTCGGATATTAAACACAGCATACTGTATTCCATGTACAGTCAGCAGACTGAACAGAGCAGCTTTAACACACTCGCACCATATCTATTTATTAAATACGACATATTTATAACGGACTTTAAAAAAAACACCAAGATTCAGTACAGTTACTAAAAATGTAAAGGGTACAAACATAAAAAAAAATCTCCCAGCCAAGTACAACCAATGAGAGTAAGATTATAATCACTTTAAACTCCTTAAATACACAGTATATATATATATATATATATATATATATATATACATACATACATATATTATATATATATATATTTGAAAATGAAATTAATTTTTATGTAATGACAAATAGAAACAGGTAGAAACTTTTATGTTATGGACCACCTTGTTGTTTCCTTGTGTTCTGCCTCCTTGGAGTGTGAAAAAAAAAATCCACAACAAGTCCTTGTTTTTGTCTTATGTGCTTGTTTTTGTCTTATGTGCTTATGTGACACGCAAATGAGCCCTGGTGAAACAGTTACATTCAGCTTGGTGTGAGTTTCAGATTTATTTGACACAAATTATATTTATAAAGTCAATATATATATATATATATATATATATATATCAGTACCTCTCTTGATTATAGGAAATTGTCATTTTTATTACCATCGATAGAGTAAATTAAATACTATAAATAAATTAATAATGAGCCATGAGATCTCAACTGCGCATGTGTGTGTGTGTGTGTGTGTGGCTCTGCTCCGCCCCTTTATCCCGGGTATAGGTCTTAATTAGTCCGAGTCGGTTCAGTCAACATGTCAAATTGCCAGGAGCAGAAACTGGAGCAGGTGGAGAAAGAAAAAGTCGAGAGAAATGTTAAAAATGAGGAGGTGAAAGATGAGGAGAAGGAAGAAAGGAAGGATGAGAGGAAGGATGATGGAAAGAAAGAAAAGACGAAGGAAAAGAAAGAGCCATTTCTGAATTGTCTTTACAATCCAAGGAGCGGCGAGTTTCTGGGTCGCACCGCCAGCAGCTGGGGTATGTGTGTGTCAGTGTGTGTGTGTGTGTGTGTGTGTGTGCGCACCTTTGTCAAGCGGGTGCAAGTGGGGAAGATGTATTTTGACAATGTATAATTGTAAATATATAAATGGCCGATTTCCGTTATATATTTTGACAAACACAAAGAAAAATTACATAAAAAGAGACAGAATTTTTAAAGAGAACATTATGAGTCAGACTGGGAGCGTTGCAACGCGTGCAAAGTGAATGGTTTGAAACAGTGGCAGTGAATTAAAATTCCATGAGATCCAGAAATAGAACATGTCCTGAAGCAGAGAAGGATATGGTTGAACGCAATATGTGAGTGTCAGTGTGTTGTCAGCTACTGCTGTCATAATAATAATAATAATAATAATAATAATAATAATAATACATATTGTTGTTGTTGTTATTTTATTTAAGTTTTTGACTTGCACAATCTTGAAATGGCATTACTTGTAAATATAAATGATCACAACCATTGTGAAATCAATATATATATATATATATATATTCTTAGAGAAAATAGTCTTCTTTATTTTTTTAAATCCTTTCTAATGTACTGGAATCTTGATTTGATTGTTATATTTACTAAGCAGCATTTTTCCTTTATTTTAACAGGAACTCTTTTAAAAATGTTGAGACAGCTGGAGTTTGCAACTGTTTTTTGTGGTTTGCTCTCTTCTTCATGATTAGCTGACATTTAAATGGAAGACTCACCAGGACAGTCAACCATTCAAGAATGATTCTAACTTCGTCTTTTATCTCTTTCAGGTCTCATCCTCCTTTTCTACCTCATATTTTATACCTGTTTGACAGGAATGTTCCTCCTGACCATGTGGGTCATGTTACAGACTCTGGATGAAAATGTTCCAACCTATCAGGATCGTTTGGCCAATCCAGGTAAGGGGGCCACGTTCTGGTCCAGTGTGAGGTTCTTGTGAGTATGAGTTTACATCACAAGATGAATCTGTGGTTTGTCATTTTGATGCAGGTCTGGTGATTCGTCCACATGCAGCTGAAATCTCCTTTAACCAGAGTGACTCAAATAACTACAACCTTCACATCCAACAACTGCACCATCTGCTGCAAAGTGAGCAAGGGTCAGGGGTCGTGGTCAGGTGGTTACTGGTCAACATTGGAGAGTCAACATGCAAGTCTATGTTCAGGGTCAGGGTGAAAGTTCCACAGCCACCAGGCCTTGGACCAGTACTGGGTCATGGATCTTTTATTCAACATTATATTTGCATTTTATTGGTTGTCAGTGAAATACGTTCTTGACATATTTTAAGATGTTTTTTCCCCAAATAAAAGACTTTGAAGAGAGATCACACACACACATATATATGTACAATACAATTTATTTATTTATTTTACTTAAGGTAAAGCTTTATCACTACAGCTGATTCTCACCTGACTTTCTCTGATCTGTTGTGTCATTACTTTGTTTTTCCGTGTTTTCCTTGTCACTCCAACTTGATGACCAGTCTATTAGAATTATGTCAAAAATTGTGTGATCTACACGCTAGAGATCAAACAGTGTGTTCAGGGTCAGGGTCAGGGTCTGATGTGACTGATTTTGTTTACAGAGTACAACGACAGCATTCAGAAGCACAATGATCTGTGTCTGTTTGGAGAATTCACTGAACAGGATGATGAGCCAGTGAAGAAGGTCTGTCAGTTCATGAGAAGCAGCCTGGGCGACTGCTCCGGTCTGTCTGACACCAGCTTTGGATTTGCTGAAGGAAAACCCTGCATTATCATCAAAATGAACCGGGTTAGTGACCAAGTTGTTTGACAGTCATGATGTAAGTTAAAATGAATGTGCATGGGCAGGTGCACAACTGAACTGGGGTCAATGTTTTACTACTTGGTGGTGTTTACAGTTGTTATGGTTTCTTGCAGGTTGACTTTCCTGTCTAATTTATATCCTTGTATATAATAATAATAATAATAAATAACAGGAAGGTGTTTGTCAACAGGTGATTGGACTAAAACCTAAAGGAGATCCTTACATCAACTGCACTGCTGTGGTAAAACACACATACACACACACAGCTTCACTGTTAAAGCTCATATGAACAGAAGAAATTACGCTGTTGATTGATTATTTTCTCTCAGGGAGAAAGACCGTTACAAATGCAGTACTTTCCATCTGACCGTCGACTTGATAAAATGTTTTTCCCGTACTATGGCAAAAAGGCCCATGTGAGTAAAACTGATTATTCCTGCTTTGTGTTTAGCTTCTAGGTTTTAAGGCTACTGATGAAATCAAACATTGATGACTATACAAAACCTAGCCTTCATCATGTTGTTTTTTTACAATGAAATGTTGACAAGGTTCAAGTGTTAATGTGGCCTCTCACATTGTTCACAGCTGGACTATGTGCAGCCTCTTGTTGCTGTCAAGTTGCTCTTGACTCAGGATGACTACAATATTGACCAGACAGTTGAGTGCAAAGTGATGGGTTCAGACCTGCTTAACGATGACAGTCGGGATAAGTTTCAGGGCCGGGTCAGTTTTCGGGTCAAAGTATCAATGTGAACAGAACTGGCATTTCTCAATGGACAGGTAAACAGGTTTGTGCCATTCCAGGGAATTTTTATTCTAAATCAGATCTGTTCCAATGCTGACCTGAGTCAAACTGTCAGAACCATGACACCTGGGTCAGTCATGATAGTCATACAAGCTAAAAAAGAGTCAATACACAGGTTTATAATAAAATGTGCATATTTTATTAGAGAAGAAATACACGCACACACACAATCAACAAGGAAAACAATAAAAGCAACATAACAGTTAAAAATATCAAAATTATTAATTAAAAAATCAAATAATATTTATTTATTCTTGTTAAGTTAAGTTTTTTTATTTATTCTTGTTAAGTTAAGTTTTTTTGGGGGGAGGGTTGGTAAATTTTAATGGTAATGTGTCTCCCTCGCACAAACATAACAGAGTAAATTTCATTACAATGAAAAAAATAAACGTGTAAAAGTAACATTTGGATGCTTTCCTGTTGTTGTTACACAGGGAAACCTTTCTACATTATTATCCTCTATATATCATTGATGTTATTGTGTCACTTTGAAAAACCCAACTGGATGATATTTGTTCAAAGTTCTTAAATAAAAAGGTTTAAATCGAAAAAGATGTTTTGTTTGTTTGTTTGATTGTTTTTGACAGGAAAAAAACAAATTCTATGTTAGAATTGTGTTTCATTTAAAATACAGTACAGCTAAAATGATATTTTGACTCATTTATTTTTCGAAGTATTTTCACCACATTATCTGTTTGGTTTGCTATATGTATTAATTTGTGGGCTTATGATAGAACTGTGCGACCTTTTGCCGTTTTTGTAATTCAATGACCTCAGCTCTGGGTGAGCCGGATGTGAAAGATCAGGGACGGAAGTGCCATTCAACATGGCGGCGCTGAGAACTTTCTCTGTTCAGACGGAATTGATCATGAACGCAGCGGTAGATGCAGCTGTGTCTGCTCTGCAACAGAAACTCGGTGAGATGAACCCTGACTGTGGAGAACAAACCGAGGTGAGATCAAACTTCTAAACGAAATACCCGGGGGTAAAAAAAGACGTTTGTACGTGGGGAAAGCTTAAGAGGAAAATCCGACATCACTTCCTTCTTCGGTTACATTCACCTAGCGCATATACCAAGGCTTTTAGCAGGATTCGTTATTTCCGGTAAACAATAACATACCAGTGGTAAACCTATACATCTACAGCTGGCTCCAATGATAATATCTGGTAAATACAAAACTTCCATTCCCAAGTGGCGACATTCGCTCTTCCCCTGCATCCATGAGTTTTTCTAGCCTTCTTCTTAAAGCCTTTGACACTAATTAAAAAGAAAGACAAACGATTTTCTGGTGCACGGAGACATCAATATAAAATGTGATATACCGATGTCTGTAAAATTGTGTTTTGTCAAATAGAAAATAGAAGAACTTGAGCTGGTGTTGAAATAGTGCAAGGAAATAATTGAGATTAGTGTCTGCAGTGGCTTCTGTGACTGAGGATTTTCCTGCTGGTTGATGACATGATTTGAATAAAGATGTATCAATATTGACTCTTTTTTTCTGTAGATGCTTCTGAGGGACATTCTGTCCATCATGTCCAGAGAAGCTACTCGTAAAATTGTACAAGTTTTCGCTGAGCTGTACATGTGTGCGGAGAAGGAAACTGAGTCTCTCAAGGAAAATGTCAAACATCCTCTCATGGAGGAGAAGAAACAGGGAAATCAGAAGAAAACAGAGATCAAACCAACAGGTTTATATATTTTGTGCACCACAGAGATGTTTTATTTGTATATTTCAAATTGTTTCTGAAAGTTATTGTCTGCCATTGAATAAGGACAGATGTCATTTTCCTAGTATCTCCCTGCAGCATTACACAATATTTTCCTAACACTATAATAGATTTGAATTGTATTTGAATGTTTTAACAAATTGATGTTACAGACAGTGTTTCTCTGATATTGGACGTCAGCCATCCCACTACTGAGCCCACTACTCTAAACTCAAGCAACCAGCAAGAACTGCTCATCATTACGAGCCAGATCCCCACTCGGCCAATCACAGAGAAGATTCAACCTTACCCAGGACCAGATTCAAATCCTGGTTCATGCCCCGATCTGGATAAGACACACAGTGGCATGGATTCAGAACCGATGCAGTGCTCCTCTGATATGACATTTCCTGTGGTTAATGATCAGCCAACCATTGAGCTCAGCGAGGAACCTCCCATTAAGGCCATGCCCACCGCTCATAAGAAGCAAGCTGTAGCAGTAAGTCCAATAATTAATTCTCATAGACTATGTTCATATGGTTCATTGAATCAGTTCATGGAGAATGTCCTATTAAATATATCACCATGAATGGTTGATGTTTGAATATCAGTCTGCCTGATATTTTTTTTGTATGTTTTTCAGAATAAAAAAACAGAAACAATCAAAGGGAAAAATAGAAATCTTCATCTGCAAGGTGACTTCACTTCATTGTGTGTATTTGTGTTTCTCACACAACATTTTGGCCATGTGCTGGAATTTATTTTTACTTCTGCCATTAATGATTCTAAAAACTCCCAGATGTATTATTAATATGTTGATGGATTTAAGTATGAATGTGTTGAAAGGCTATGCATCAGTCCTTGACTTCTTTACTCGGTATACATTTGTTGAAAGTCTACTTTTGTTCTTGCAGGTATAAGTGTGGCGGAGCAGAGAGAGCAACAAAAGGAACAAGAGCGGCAACGGAGACGGGAGCTTTACAAAGACAAGCGCTTTTTCTGTGAGCTCTGCAACAAAGGTTTTCATCAGAAGCACCAGCTCAACAAACACGTGTCGTCTCATCAGAAGCCGTTTCCCTGCAGCTTCTGTGACAAAGGTTTCTACAAAGCCACAACACTACAAAAACATGAACTGTGCCACCAGCTGAGAGCAGCTCAGGAGAATGACCCAGACAAGCTGCTTCACTGTGACCAGTGTGACAAGACCTTCAAAGTGTTGCGCCAACTACGAGTGCATCAGGTGACTCACCGTTTGGAGAAGACGCCACTCAAATGCCAGACCTGTGACCGCACCTTTACTTCTTCTAGTGCCCTCCGCTACCATGAGGTTTCACATGCTGAAGTCAAGCCCTACTCATGCAGTGTTTGTTCAAAGAGTTTTACAAGAAAGAAAAGCCTCCGCGAGCACCAGACAGTCCACACAGGTGCCCGGCCGTATCGGTGCCAGACCTGTGGTAAGACCTTCTCCACCGCAAGCAACCTGCGTGTTCATAAAAGGTCGCACTCAGACGAAAGGCCATTCAAATGCAGCCAGTGTGACAAGGCGTTCAAGTGTCGGATGGGTCTTTTGCAGCACCGCGTAGTACATACTGGGGAAAAACCTTTCATGTGTCAGACCTGCGGTCTTAGGTTTGGCCTCAAGTACAATCTGCAGAGACACCTGAGGCTGCACAGTGGAGAGAAACCATGCAGGTGGGCTTGACAACAACTATCTACCACCTTCATGAAATATCAACAACACCGCTTGAACAGGTCAACTCAACACAGACTTACAGTGACAGTTTTTGTACTAACTACCTGTTTATTCTGTTCTAGGTGTGAGAAGTGTGGTGAGTGCTTCAAGGGCACGTGGGCACTGAAGGTCCACATGCTGGTTCATGGTGTGGAGAAGCCATTCATGTGCGATCTGTGCGGTAAAACATTTTTCTACAACTGTCAGCTACAGAAACACCAGAGAATTGTTCACTTTGCCAGCAGCAAAGAGCGAGGCGGGGGAAAGGACATGCAGCAGGTCAGACGCAGGCCCCCCTGGGACAAACCTTACAGCTGTAAAACGTGTATGAAGCGCTTCAGCAGCAGCTCCACACTGCGTACACATGAGAAGAGCCACGCTGAGGACAAAGAGTTCAGCTGCGAAACTTGCGGGAAGACTTTTCATCTGAGACACATGTACATGTACCACATGAGGCAGCACAGTGGAGACCGACCGTACGTTTGTGGCACCTGTCACAAAGGCTTCATGCTGGCATCGCAGCTGAAACAGCATCAGCTGCTACACACTGGTGTCAAACCACACCAGTGTGCTCAATGTGGCAAAGAGTTTAGGACGCCACAGAATTACCAGCGCCACCTGCTGGTGCACACAGGAGTAAAACCCTACCAGTGCGAAGTGTGCAGCCGTAGGTTCCGTCAGTCCAACCAGCTCAAATCTCATATGCAGATCCACACAGGTGTGAAACTGTACACCTGTGAGCGATGTGGTCGTGGTTTTGCTGACTCTCGCCCACTTAAGAAACATCGATGTGGAGATGATGACCCAAACTCGCACCAAAAACCAAGTGATGGGATCACATGGACACAGGAGTTCCCTAACCAATAAATGTGACCAGAATGTTTCTTTACACTAAATCAATATGGTTTTACAAAACACAGTCATTTTGTGAAAATTGTTTGTCTAGTTTGTGGATATTTTTTACATCAGTTTATTTTTTGTAAAGGTAATCCTTAACCCCACAATTAAAAATATATTTGAGAATGTCCTGGTTTAAATAATTATTGTGTCTTGCTGTACAGAGAGTGTTACAACATTAGTCACCTTTGACCAAAATACAAAGCAATTTATTTAAATAACGTTATTAAGATACAAATGCGCAAAACACAGGAGTCAAGACAAACGACCATCAACCAAAACAAAGTCTCGCGAGACTTGACCACAGCAACTCGCAGTATGTGGCGGGTGTATGTAGCAACCGGAGGTGGTTTCCTACGTGCTTTAAGCGGGTCTGTCCCGGACGTTTTGTTACCGCGGTGCTACGTAGTGTAACGGTAAAATTATTCGCCTGGTGTGACCTGCTCTGCGGTTTGTTGTACATAAGGGCCTCACATGGTGCGACAGTTGGCGTATCAACGGTACGCTAACACGAAGCTAACGTAATAGCTTGAGCTAAAGTTACACTGGTCGGTGAAAGGAAGGTTCTGGTGAGTTTAAAGTCTCGCAGCAACATTGTAAACAAATATTATACCCGTAAGTCTGCCGCTAACAGAATTACGGTCGTTTTTCGTAAACATAAGAATTGGTAAATTCGTGATTTAACCTGACTGCAAGTTCAGTTATACCTGCGCCTAACAGACGATAAGTTAATTTAACCAGTTTAGATTGAAATATTTCCTACATTTTATATTTGTTAACAGTCCCAGTTGATGTTTAATTAAATACTGTCTAGATAATACCTGCCAAAGATGGCGCTATACGCTTTACTGTCACTGAGTTACCTCATGACCCATGTTATGTAGGCTGCCGACATGGCTAACAAAATAAGCACAAATCATAAATATTGACCAAAGATTATTCCATCCGCTGCAGCACATGTCATGTTGTTTTTCTCTAACAATCCACACAAAATAAGCAGAGACCCATTAGACACATTAGAATTCCTTTGGCGCAATATTGCATCACGTTTGGGCTTGAAAGGCTTCAGCAGTTTAATACACTTATATAATCAACAGCTGTTAAGACCACTATGGAATTATTTTAGCATCTAGATAAACCTGTTGACAGTGAAGTTCTCTCAGTTTTGATGGGACATTAACTTAGTCATGGACACAGTGAAATGGCCACTGAGTATATTTAATAATTAAAGCTGAACAATTTGCTTAGTTACAAGCTTATGGTTTATATATAATGGATACATGTTTATAAAGGGTGTAGCAAAATGCAAACGCCATGGTTTGGTGCGTAACTCGCTTCTGACATCACGGTTGAGACATTTTGCTACCAAAATAAATGTGGAAAGACATTGTTGATATGTATTAAAGTATTCCACTCAAAACTCAATTGCAGTATTACAAATAAAAACTATAATAAGATACATCAAATGAGGGTTGTGTATGTTTAGTAATGTGAAGTTGTTGGAAGCATTTTTTTGTATAACCATGGTTACATTTGACACATAAGGTTGTATATGTTATTGTGCATCTGTGTTTTTGATGCAAATATCCAATACCGAATGGTTGGTTATGAATATAAATATCAGTTATCTGGCTGAAAATATTGTGTGTTAATCATTAACACAAACTAAATATTTTCACACATTAACTGTTTAGGAATAATTGACTATTAATAAGTAACAAAGGAAAATGTACTAAAAAGCAATTGTATACATGTTATCATGTATTTCTACATAAAATTGACCTAAAGAAGTTTCTTTTTCAGACACATTTAGATTTTTTCTTCATTTTTGACATGAAAATGACAACGGCGAGGAGAATTACTACAGTGTCCCATGAACGTCCTCTGGATCTAGAAGATTGTCGCTGCCCAGTCTGTCTGGAAATCTTCTTGGAGCCAGTTACACTTCCCTGTACACACACTTTTTGCAAGGTAAACACATACAAACCCTATTACAATACAGTGCCTACATGTAGGCTTGGGCTGTAAATCAACCTTGAAGTTCAAAGTTATCACATTTAGTGCAAAATTTGCACCAACAAATAGAATGTTTTTATCTCACAGTTTTTGACTTCTGTCTATAACCTTGTTGCTGTCTGTGTCCCAGGACTGCTTCCTGGAGTCTGTGGATAAAGCAGCTTTGTCTTGTCCTTTGTGTCGACGGCGAGTGTCCACGTGGGTGCGTGCAAACAGTAGGAACAACACACTAGTCAACGAGCAGCTTTGGCAGAGGATCCAGATCAGTTTCCCTCAGCAATGTGAACGTCGACGTGTGGGCCAGGCACCTGAGGACGAATTTGGAGGTGGACAACAGTACTTAGTATTTGATTTCACTAAAAAGTGTCTTTGTTTTGACACACGTTTCAGTCACTAATACTTAATTTAAAATGCTCTGATTTATCTTGCTTATTGTAGCAGTTCACCTTTCTAGCTTTTGAATAGACAGACAGCAGAATTGTACTTTTTCATTCAAAAATACAGATATAAATAATGTTATTGCTGAACCTCAGCAAATAAATGTTAAACTAATAGAATGCGTGCATGTGTTTGCATGCATGTTTCCCTGCCCAGTGTTGGTGAGTCTTCCCACAGTCAGTCAACCTGGAGAGCTCCAGCGAGAATATCAGGACCAGATCACCAAGGTCAGTTCAAGGACAAACCAACACCCCGATGTAAACAATGTTGGGATTTACAGGACAAAAGCTTGGTCAAAGAGGCAGACCAAAGATCGTGCTCAAAACCAGCTTAAAAAAATAAACATGTTAATTGTTGAACACCAGAGTGTCAAATGTTTTCAGTGCAATCATTCAGATTGTATCATCCTTAGCTGACTGAGGAGAAGCGAGCACTGGACGAGGAGGAAAGGAAAGCAAGCGAGTCGTTCATCCAGAAACTGCTAGAGGAGGAGGAGGAGAAGCTAAGGGAGGAGGAAAGGAGGCGAGAGGAGGATGAAAGACTGGCAAAGCAGCTCAGCAGTCAGCTGGTCAGTGACATCATCATACACATTTACATAACTCCATAGCATCATGTCTTTGGGGAGGTCAGTGAGTTTATGACCTGCCTGTCTTCAGAACCCCCCTGTGGTCTCACCACATTCAAATGGCATCTCCCCGATACCCAAGAAGAAGGAGGTCACATCTGGACAAATAGAAAGGTAGGTCATACTCAGAACCAGCACCTTTACCCGATGTTGATGACTCCTTACGCGAATAAATCCTGTTCTTTTGTTTTTTTCCAGGTTCTTCTCTCCCCGTCAAACTAAACAATCTTCAATCTGTAGCCCTATTTCCACCAACATCTCCAACAAAGTGAGTCCACTTTGTAGTCATTGGATAAGAAATACAATATACTGTATATTAGGAATAGGTTCGTTTGTGTTAAGTCATTAATGTAAAGAATGCATTGATGTTGGGGATTTGATGAAATCATGAAAACTTGTAGTAATGTTAACACAAAATCTGCCTGCATTTTGCAAAAGTTAATACTTTTGCAAATGAACATTTTGTTTAAAGACAGTGTGGGAAGAACCAGAGTCAATGGAAGGAGACTGTGTCCATACACTATAGTAAAGCAGGTTGACACATGAAGGAGCACTAACAGTAGCACAGGACAGAATGTAGATGGGTTTAACCCAAACCCTGGGTATTTAAGACAAAACTGTTTACAATCACTGCCATAAAATGCTTACAGCCACTTTACAACTTTATTTTATTCATATATCTTCTAGTCCTACATTTAGTGACCCGTCATACTGTCACACTGCCCCACTCACAGTCCCTCACTGGGTATTTATCAATAATATAAAATATTTTCTTAATTATATTATCATTTTTTTTGTTTTTTATATATGTTCCTGATGTTTAGATGGGGAAGATTTTAATTTAAGTAATTAATAGTATATTTCTGGGGGGCTGGAACAAATTAATTGGTTTTCAGATAATGTTTCGACATACGAATGCTGTTGTGGAATGGATTAAACTCGTATTTTGAGGCCCCACTCAGGCATCTTAATGCATTATTATTGTGTTAAGTAATTAATTAATGCCGACAATTACTTCATTTATAGCACTGAGACTTTGTTGTTTTCGTTCAGGAGAACATCATCGTTTCTAACCTGGACCTTGACGAGACCTCAACCAGTAGAACAGAGACTTTGCAGAGAAATCAGACTCCAAAGAGGAGGACTTCAGAGCGGGAGGAACCAGATGACGCTGTGGAGGTGGTGTCCAAAAGAGGCTGCTACTCCTCCTTCCCGGAGGGTCCAGTGTTGTCCTCAACAGCTGAGCATGAGTGGGAGGCGGAGACTCTGAGAAGACAACAGCAGGAGAAGGAAGATCTGCGCCTGGCGCTCCTCCTGCAGAAGGAATTGGACCAGGAGGAGAAGCGCCGAATCAGTGACCGGAGCAAAGGCTCCCCTGACGCCTACCTGCTCCGCCAGAATCAAGCTGCAGGAAGAGAGTCTCGTAGTAAGACCCCGAACAAAGTCAGACGGAAAAATTCAAACAGTTCCTCCTCTGGCTCCTCCTCTTCCTCTGACTCTTCCTCATCTTCTTCTGGCAGAGGCAATAAACAGATTCCTCTGACTCTTCCTCCTCTTCTTCTGGCAGAGGCAATAAACAGACTACTCTGACAGAGATGTTCTCCAGCAGATGAAGTTTGAGATTAGACCTTTGTACTGCATCTCTGTGTGTCAGTAAGAACAGATTTGCAGTATTATGTCAAAATAGTTTAGTTCTTGTAGTGAGAAGATTAGGAAAAACTCTGTAAGAACACTAGTTCCGTCTGAACCAACCCCCGAAGTGCAACTTAAACCCTGATGTAGCTGCAGCAAACATGATGTCCTTCTTTAGTTTTGTTTGTAGTTAAAACTCTAGGGGTTAGTAATGATGGATCTGTTAATCAGCTTTTTCAATTTTCTTAATTAAAAAAAAGAATTACTATAAAGTTAGTTTCTGAAGTGAAATTCTAAAAGACAGGAAAAAGAAATGTCAGTGTATTTGTGTACAAAGGATTGTGGGTATATTGATTATTCTGAGGATCCACAGTCTACATTCATGCATCCTTTTAAATCATTTATTTTGATTTTTAGATAGGTCTCTGAGGCGGTCAGTCGCACTTCCTGTGACATGCAGAATGATGTAACTCACATGCCATGGTACGTCAGTGTGGATCCCACAGAAGAAGAAGCAGCGGTTCTACTGGTCTCATGGTCATGGGATTCTCATGTCTCAGTCTGATGACTGGACACAGTCACAACCGGAAACGTATCAAAGGATTGAAGTGACACATTTGGATACGTGTTGTTGTGAGAAATGTTTGTGTTTTGAATGATTGAAATATTGTAGTATAATTTACATCTACATTTGTTGTGGCCTTTACATCTGCATCATTTTCAGTTAAAGTGGAACAATTTTAAAAGGACCTTGAGCCGGTAGTTTGTTCCAAACATCTTTAAGAAATAAACACTGACATTCTGTCCGTTTCATATTCCTGTAAGTGTTGTTGCAGTTCTTCCATGAAGACCACATCTGGCCAGAAGTCTTTAACCACTTAGCCATCACTGCTTCCATTTTTTACTTTTTTTTAAGTGAAGAAAGGGTCCATCATGTTTACCAAGACATGATGGACCCTTACGTTTACTAAGTCCCTCATGTCTTAGTAAATATGATGGACCTTGAATCTGCAACATTCAGTTCACGGTAATTTTCTGTTCTTGTTTCCCATATTCCTTTGCTCTGTGACTAAAGTGATGACTCAACATCTAAAAGAAGCAAAACTTAAAATAAGAAAAGATGAAGTGAAGAAACGTGAGTCAAGTCGAGTGTTAGTTCAACAAGTCCCTGACTGCAAATCTGTGTTAAGCCCCATGTATGAATGAACAGGTTCTGGTAAAGAATGGAGACCGAATATATATATATGTATATATATTCTGTAGTGGGTATGGAATAGATGTCTGTAACCCTGTGGAGAAACCGTCATTGAGGTCACAGGTCTTTAGAGGTTCACGTTAGTATCTATTTTCTCTGTGTCCTCATAACTATGGAAAGTCAAATGTGTTTGTTTGAACTTCTCCCTCTCTCCGTCCCCCCTACACCCTCCTCTCTCCATGTATATAAACATTCCTGTCTGTCATTCATTCATTATCTGCTGATCCTCATGGTAAGTTCACTCTTTATTGATCTTTATTCAATGTCACAGGAACAGATAAATGTCATATAAAATGTATTGATTGTGTTACATTATTTCAGACAGAGACGTCCCATAAATTTAGCACCTGTTTATTTATGTAGTATATATAGTGTATATACCTGTTTATTGCTAAACAAAATAATTAAATCAGCCTTGTACCTTATACAGCAGGTATTGTAACATACGTTACATGGGGGTTTTGGTGGGTTTTTCTACCCTGGGGATTGTTCTGTGGGCTGCTGTGAATCATTTTCATGGAAATTTATGTTAAACTGGCACAGATTGAGGCATTGCATATTATATATTTGTTTATTCCAGTTTGAAAGTGTTGAACATTTTTTTAATTAAAAAAATCTGAATATCTATAATGTATAGTGAAAATATATATGTATATTATATATTTTTCCACAATTTTGTAAATCCACGATGAATCTTTGTGTAATAGTTGAACTGTAATGTATGTGTATGTATGTAATGTAATTTGCATTAAGGTAAAACAATTCATTCAAGTAACATTTGCTCAAACAAGTACAAAACTGTTATATTCCTGGGGTTACAGGTCGGCTGGTCAAATGACTAGGAATCAAAGAGGATTCGTATTAGCAAATTAATATGGACCAGTGATTCAAAAACTTTACTCACCACATTCAACCTCAAGAATATTTGGCTCCAAAGTACCAGCAGAATGAGGACCATTATAATACTGCATCACAGGCCTACCCTGTTCATCCAAGGCCAGTATTTGATAAGAAAAAACAAATCCAAAATAAGATTAGTAAACTATTTGAAGTAATACTACAGCCAATACTTCAGTTCAATTCTGAAACCACTCAGATAACCTAAATAGAATATATAACGGCTGTCATTAGCATAGTGGCTCACCTAATCCTAATAATAAGCAGACCTGCCAAGGTACCGCTAGAGGGCGCTCAGATGACACCAGCAGTATGCATCATAGTTTGGGAACCATGTATTTTGGATTGTAAACTAAAAGATACTGAAACTGGGTCAAAGGTTAATGAATGGATTGGTGTCCATGTCCCCTCCCAGATGTGTGTGTCCAGGTGTCTGCAGTGTGTCGGCAGGTCTCTGGCTGTCCTGGCGCTCATTTGCATGTTGTCCAACGTCCTGCTCTTGCTTCCTCAGCTGAAGATCCACTTCCTGTTGGAGGGTCATGTGACAAGAGAGGCCACCTGGGCCACAGGCCTTTGGGCATCAGGGCTCATGGTGTGTTATATGGTCACACGTTGTGTTTGTGTGTGTTTGTTTTTATTGTTGTAACAGTTGTGTTGATTTAATGTTACCTCCTCCAATCATCTCTCTGACGTCATCCTTTACTCATCTCCACTGTGACACCAACACCATCTTCACGACCTTTCGTCTTCTCTGGAGTCTGTGCCTACATATTAAAAATGATCCACAATTTTAAACCACAAACCGTTGATATAAAAAGGTTGCACCTTCATTAAACATGTTGACTTTTTTTTTTTTAAGTTGACTTTTAAGAACATTGACTTCACACACATCAAAGAGTCCATCCACGTCAGTTGTTTGTTAAACAACACACACACTTACTTAAATGCTAAACTCATTCCAGGGTGTCAACCACAGAGGACACTTAATTTCTAAAAACATTATTGTATTAATTAGCCTAGCCTGAAATGTCAACAGACAATGACATGACTGAAGGGTTCCACCATTGTTAAACTAGGATTCAGGAAACATGTTTTTTAATAAATATACACATCTACCTGACTGTCTGTCTATCTGTTTGTTCTCAACATAAAGTCTCTTGTCTGGTTCTAGGTTCTCTTTGGAGCACGTTCTATCCTCTTCAGCAGCAGAACCAAAGGCTGTTGTGCATTCAGAACCCAGGTACGTCTCCCCTCGGCTGTGTCCCATCATATGAAATATTATCAATTTAGGGTCATGAATACTCCAGTGAAGGATGAGGAAATATTATTGGTAGTAAAGTTGTTAATGCATGAGCAACATAAAAAATGTAAAATGTCAAAAATGTAAATATAAAATACAAGATAGAAGGTTTGTCAAATTATTAAATTTATCAGATAAAATGTTTGAATCCACTGGCAGTGTCACAAGTGCTACCTGCAGATCTGTGTCTGTCTGTCCCAGTGATATACAGAAGAGGTTATGTTTAGGAATGAAGATTTATCTAGAAAGATGTTCCCACATCCGTCTCCTTATCATCTTTGTTTCCCCCTGTTGTCAGTGGAATCTGCAGTCACTTGTTTATTCTTGTGTCCAGATGCTGCGACAGGTCCTGTCCTCCAGTCTTTGTCTTTTGGCTGCCTCCATTTGTTGTCTTGTTAGTGTCACTGGTCTGGTCCAGGGTCCTCTCTGTCTATACAATGCCACCACTGGTCCAACTTGGGACGTCCCTCTTAAGCCGGACCCTGACAAGTGAGACACCAGCTCATCTGACTTTAGAAATGTCTAGATGTTTTTTGACCCCGTCCTGACTTCCTGTCTTCCTGTCCCTGTCTGTTGTGTGTCCCTCAGTCTGACTCTGTACCTGTACAACAGGACTCTGTGGTCAGTTTGTCTTCAGCCTCATTCCGTAGTGGAGTGGAACATAGTTCTGTTCAGTGTGATGGGAGTTGCCAGTTTACTGCAGGCTATTCTTTGTGCTTCCAACGTTCTCAACTCCCTCCTGGGAATGATCGTGGGACCAGGGTTGTGCAAGAACCAGGTCTGCAAAATAGTCCTGTTCATGTGCCAGGATGTTTTTTACTTTGTACTTTCAGGGGTAGATGTGAATGTGTGTTCTTTTCTGAAGCAGGAGAATACACAGTATTAGTTCATCCACTGTATAGCCTTTTTAAATGGGCCAGTGGCCAATAAATCAATAAAAGACAAAGCAATAATACAGAGAAATAAAATAAAAGACAGAATAAAAGAAACAGTTGAACCTGACTAGCTGACCTAAAACAGGACTTAATTATGTAGCTCAATTTCCTCATTCAAATGACAATATCTGCCCAACCCTAACCTCCTCACTCTGCTGATTCACTGTGCTTTATTGGCTTTATCCACAGCCAAATACATTTGTTCCGTAGTCAGGACCAGGATCAATGATCAGGGGTTTTAATTGTATGAATACATGTCCCATCAACTGAGCTACTTCATTAATTATTATTGTTATTGTGTGTGTGTTTTACAGGTCACTCCAACCCCACCCCCTCAGGGACCCTAAATGATGTCACCAAATGAATTTTGTCATTGGATCACTTTGTTATGTTTTGACAGCACTTGTGCACTTTATGAATATAAAACAAACATATAGTTATGCAGATCTGACCCACTTAATCAGTTCTTCATCAGATCTTTGTCAGGAACAGAATAGAATCCTCTCCATAAGCTTTACTTTACCTTTTTGTAACTTCTGGGTTTCAGCAGCTGATAGTTGTCTGGTTGTCCAATACTGTAAATAATGACTCTGTTTTCTGGCCTCTTGTGGTCACTTAAAAAATAGAGCATATACTCTTATTTAAAGTTCTTATTTAGATTATTTAATGAAATATAAGTCCAAATGGGCCATTGTTCCACTACTATTTTCTATTTATCCTAATCTTGTAAGTATTTTTGTTGTTGTGTTTTTCGGCTTATGTAAAAAAAACCCAAATGTTCTGGTATTAGAATGGTTATTTTTGAATGTTTAAATAAATGTGTATGCCTCGACTCTAGTGTTTATTTTACTTCGTTTACTAGACAGAACATGTTTTTTTGTCTAACAATATTTATTAAACCAGTAATGAAGCTTCTACTGCAGCTAGATATGTTTAAAGTTGTTTTTTACTTATTTTTCTTTCTCTTTTTTTAACTTGCTGTGGAAAATGTATGTATGTATGTCCGTTTCTGTATATGTTTTATGTACCACTGTGTGGGCGTTTTTATGTATGTTGGGTATTTTTTGCTTGGGTGTGAGTGCATTTCTTTGTGTTCTTTTAATATGCGTCTTTCTCCCTCTCTCTCGTCACTCAATTTTCCTGTCATAAAGATGTTACAGTATAGGCCGTTTTGTTTGCATCACTTTACAAAGCAGTTGAACTTAAATAGTCTTGAGAGTGAACGATACTCTGTTTGTAGTGTGTGTGTGTGAGAGAGAGAGAGAGAGACCTCGTTGAGTGGGCGTGGCTTGTGTACCTGTCGTTCAGGTAATTTTATCTGAGACAACAAAAAGTCGCTGAACGCGGAAGTACTTCAATTATTTCTGTGAGGCGGAAACTTGCTCAGCGCGGTTTTAGCCAACGGACTAAAACCAGATACCGATAAAAATGAACCAGCTGCGGTTCTCCGTCACGCTGCTACTCTGTGCCGTGGTGCACTTCTCCCCGGCCCTGGGCTGTGACTGGGTCGGATATGAGAAGCAAGGTCTGGATCTGGACTACTTGGGGGAATCTGAGAGTGAGATCGTGGACGTGGACAGTCCAGAGAGCTGTCAGGAAAAGTGCTGTTCCAATCCGAACTGTAACACGGCTGTGGTCGGTTACCCCATGGACGGACCGCCGCAGTGTCGCCTGCTGAAGTGTGGGGACAACTGCCGCCGCCGGGAGAACACGCAGTTCAGTGTGTACCAAAAGAATGGAACCGAAACCACTCTGATGACGGAATCTAAAGAACGTAACAACAAAAACAGGGACGGTAAGGAACCAGGCCCTGAATAAGTTAGTAATTAAGGATGAACAGTATTGAACTCATTAAATACATCTTAAAATAATAACACGAATTCACTTTGTCTTAGGCGTACGTATATACTATACTTATACTGAAATACATGTCTAATTCATAGACAAGTGTTTCCATCAGAGATTTCCTTCTCAGTAGAATGGGTCTGTAGGATGTCTGTGACACCAGGCCAACCTGCTGCTTTGTCTGGGCTAGGAAATTACGTACACTTCTTTTAAATGTTCTTTCAGGAAAAGACAATACATCAGACGTGTGGAGCTAGTTGATTCAAAATTCAACATTGATAAAACTGGTTAAAGATAAAGACCTTTTTTTCTTTATTTACATCACATGACCTTGACTTGTTCCACCATTTGTTACGTAGGTGCTTAATATGATCCTTACTAAGAAATATAAGCCAACCTGTATTGGACACCCTAACAGGAGGCAACATGTGTTTTGTTACTTTAATTATTCATCCTATACTTTTTTATGGTTCATGAAGTATATCTCATGACCGAACACGACCAGAATTATGTCTGATCCAGCGGAGAAGCTGTGCCAAAAGTAAAAAGCATTTAATTGAACTCCATACTCCAGTAGGAAGAGGGAGGGGGGCTATCTGCTCTGAGTTTTACCAAAGAAGACCATAGCCTACCAGTCCTGCATATTATACCATCTGTCAATATTTCTGGGATTTAAATAAGTAAATTGGTTAATGTTTATTTTTTTGTCAGGCGGTCATGCATGTAATTGTAAGTAGAGGAGGAAATACTTCTTAGACATCTCAAATCAGCCTTGAAATATGCACAGTGTGGTATGTGCTCTGTCAAACAATGGTGTATGATTAAAGATATGTGCCGTAAAGGACACTAACTCGGGGCAGCACTAACATAGCAGAATGTTAGTAAAAAGAAAAAGCCAAATGTTATTACAAAAGAGAGCTAGTGCATCATACTCATAACAGTGACCTGTGATTCTGGGATGAACAAATATGTTTCAAAAGTCTCAGTAGCACACAGCCCTCATTCACACTGATGTGATTGGCTAGTGCTGTGTTTTATTACATTAAAATGGAGTGACTTTAAGCAAACAAGTTATTATTCGTGTTTGTCAGCTGGAGATTCACTAGATGAAGTCACAGAACTGGTCTGGTGGGGAAATAACAAATGTGTTGTGATGGCATGTAGGCATTTGACATCTAACACGGAAGTGTAGCTGTCTCCTGTGCTCTTATCTGTGTGACTGCTGGTGTGTTGTATCACAGTGCGTCAAGGAACAGAAGTTGTCTACCTCATGCCTAGGCCACCACTGTGGTACTGAGGAATTACAAGTCTTTGCACGTAAGCTGGTTCCTTGGTTGCCTCCTGATGATCTGATGATAAACTGTAAAAAAAAAAAATCACATATGATCTGTGATCGTGTAAACACACAGGAACAGCCATTGTCTTAAAATTGCACTTCAGTTAACTAGAAGAATAAATAAAAAGAGGACAAATGTGAGGAGCCAGGAACCGCTGATTAGTGAAAACAAATGTGAGAAACTTTTAGTTTCGGAGATTTGTTCAGGAACTTATTGGTATAGTATTATACTGTGATCATATAAATATTTATATAAATTATGTTTAAAAAAAACATTGGAGTGTTGCACTTTATATTCAGTTAACTTTGTATTTATTTATTTATTCATTCATTGACATTGACATTGGAGTGCAATTTTTATTTCCACGAAACACTGTACTTACTCCAGAATGGTGGTTGTGAAACCTGAGACCCAGGTGTGTGACATCAGTAACAACACTATTAAAGCCATTGGGCCTTTTGCTTATATGGAAAAAAGAATGGCTGTAGTTTCACAGAAGGAGGGTGTGTCAGAACACTCAGTGACAGCAGTATTTTATGAAAGTATTATACTTTCTTGAAACGTCAACCTGTGCTTTTGTCCTCCAGAAGTGGGGGCTAGCTTTCCACTTCCACTTCCACCCGTGTGGTGCCGTCACCTTCAACATGTTTGTTGAAGGTGTTGTTGTCTGAAAAAACTGACTCTGAACTCAATGCTGACCCCAGTGGACGTATTAGTAAACACAAGGTGCGCTGAAGAGTGACTATATGTGGACAGTGATGACGGTGACATACTTATTTATATATGTAAATATAAATAAACCTGAGTGCTGTGATTGTAGCATGTGTTTACAGAAACAGTTAGCACAGAGGCAGTTTGACTGGTCCCTTCAGTGAACAACTCCTTCAAGTCTCAAGACCATGGAATTGTCTTATTAATACGGAACATTGTAAGATACAATGAACATCTATAGGTTCTGGAGCTGGAGCTCTTTAGAACATTTCTGTAGAACCAATGATACTTCTCTAGTGATTACAAATGTAGATCCTTCTGTTCCAATTTTAGTGACCTGATGAGAAGCATGGAACAGCATTGTGTTTACTATACTGACAGATCTACAATTAAATTCTTTTAAAAAAATGAATATCTTGTCCTGCATATTGCATCACACTATATCACAATTTATTGTATTGTTGCTCATGTTTCGTGATATGTATTGTATTGCCAGATTCTTGCCAATGAACATCTCTAATGTTGGTCAGGATCACGTTGTGGCGATTTACAGGAGATGACCTCTGACACCGGTCACCACTGAGTGTTTTTATCTTTAGCTGTTTTCCCTGTTCCCTGTTTGTTTGTTGTTACCACTGATTGTTTGTAATCATCAGTGACCTCAGAATTTGGTTTTGTGTATTTTCAGTTACATGTCACCAGTTCAGGTACAAAAAGGTGTGGCCTCAGCATGTATCAGGTCTGACCGGTCACTCTGGTCTTTCTCAACCTGACACGTAACGACCATTGTTTTCCTGTGTCATGTAAATGTGGCCTGGTCGTCAGGAAATGTATTTCTACAGAACTGAAGACTGACGCCAGGGTTTTCCATTGTTAATGTGAAGTGTGTTTAAAAAGTCCAGACCTCTGATCATATCTGTTTTCTCCTCCTTCTCTCTGAAGTTAACTGCCGTCTGCCGCCAAAGGTGGGTTTGTGCCGGGCGTCTTTCCAGAGGTTTTACTACGACGTGACGGCCGGTACCTGTAAAGGATTTGTCTACGGTGGCTGTGGCGCAAATGCAAATAACTTCAAAAACATTGAGGAGTGTGAGGCTGCCTGCAGTGGTGTTACAGGTGGGCAGGACAAGCATCACACATACACATGCACACACTTGATGAATGTGGATTAAACATGAGTTTAGTTAACTGTAATTTGCAACTAATCTTAAAGAATGATTATATTCTTTAAAAATGTAGAATGATATTTCTTAGACATTGGATGCCACACAGTATGTAGCACTCTAAATAAATGGTATTTAATTTTGAAGTCCCAAGGTTGGTCTTCTGTCTCTTCTAGGGACATTTGTCCTCTTTTAAAAAGGTAAAGTGTCTTCACTGCGTGATTTTTTTAAATATAATTGGGAAAGAATCTGCTCATTTTACAAAATATAAACATCACTACTAGTCAATAAAAATATGTATTTACACTGTGAAGCCCATAAAGCTGCTGTTGTCATTTTACAGAGAAACTAAAGTTAAAAATCACTACAGCACCATGCCCCTCCCCCCCCCCATTTGGAACTAATGAAACATATCTTTATTTAGTCCTTTATTTATGACTGTTTTTGTTTTTAAAGGGCCAGTTCTCCCTGAAGACTCAACCCCCCCTCCAAAACACTCAGTCAAAGAATCTCGTGACGCTCCTGTTACCGCAGGTAAAATCTTTAGACTGATCTGTCCTCATCAGTAAACAATGCACTGAGACCACAGGGTCAATAATAACAATCGTTTCCCTTCTCTTTTAACACCAGATGAGCTTGACGTTGCTGTAGAAGCTCAGGTGAAAGGTAAAGTCCCCTCTGTCCTCTGTGGATGATGGGTCACAGGGGGCAGTGTTTTATGATGCACAGTTGACAAATGGTTCATTACTGTATCTGAACATCTGTCCTTAAACAACCAATCTCAGGTTGTTTTCTTTATTCACATCATTTGAATTCAGACGCCACCTGTTGTTTCTTTTTGCAAACTGCGAGTAAAAGATCGGCAACTGTGGATTAAAACTAAGAGATTATATGTTTAGTTTGTTTTGGTGACTTTTTATAAGAATAAGAATTTAAAACTTATTTAAGATGTAATCAGATAATTTGTTCTTCTGGGACTGTAACTCTGTCTATTGTCTTTCTTTTTTTTGTCTCTATCTTTAAATCTCGAACTGTATGTAAATCTGGATCTTTGCCCTATATTTTTATATCTGATTTTGAGTTAAGTACTTCTAGGTTGTTGTTCTCATGATGTTTTGTTTTTTCTTCTTTTACAGAAATGTCTGCTAATGAATATTCCCGTAAGTTAATTCAGGTGTTTTATCAGTGATTATTCCTGTTCCTCCAGGCCACTGCTCTTTCAACATTATTTTGTCAGCAGTAACTGGTATGAAGGTTTTGTTAAAGGCACAGCATTTCACATCTCACCTAAAAAGCTTTGTCATTGCTGATGAAGTGAGGAGGTGTGTTGTCACAAGGTTGTGAAACTAACACAGTGTGGCTAATGTCATAGGCTGGAGTCTTGGGAAATAAATTGGAATGTCCCTGTATTGCTAACTGATCACTTCCTGCCGTGGTATGAAAAGAAGAAGAACGACTTCTTATTGTTTTTACTCATAGTTCTGTTTTACCTCAACACAAGGAACTTATCATTCAAATGCATAAAAATAAGTAAGATTTTTGCAAAAGTGCCATTTACAAACACATGTGGAGCATCTTCACAACAGAGATGCATCATTACATACAACAGCAATTCAGACTCTATCTCACAATACATTTTACAGAATGTACACAAAGATGTCCAGTGGTGGCAGCGCCACAGATTACTCAATGTAACAAAATGTTACTTCTACATTTTCTTTAAATTTTTTTCTGAATTTGTTCCCCTCTAACTGTCTAAGGAATTAAATTTATGAAGGGTTATGACTTTACTCTATAATAATGACCTCATCCTTTGGTTCACGGTGATATGAAACATCTCAGGCTGAGTGTCACCATGGAAACACACACATGAACAACTATGTCCGTATGTTCTGGTCCTATCAGAGCATTGTGAGGTTGAGCCTGATGTCGGCCCCTGCAGAGCGTCATTTTCGAACTGGTACTACAACAGCAAGATGGGTGAATGTCAACAGTTCACCTACGGAGGCTGCCAGGGAAACAAGAACAACTACAGAACTAAGGAGAGCTGTGAGAGCACCTGCACAGGTGAGACACAAACACACAGACATACAGTTCCACACCTTCTGGACTTTAATGTACGCCATGAGAGAAAGTAAATAAATAAATAACTGACAGCTGAATCTGTCACCAGTAAACGACACTGACATCGGGTCTTTTAGTGGGGAAAAAAACCTAGGCTTTATCTTCCAGTCACATCTTTAGGCCCAAGTGTCTCTGACCTCTGTTCTGGTTAGATAAGGTTAAGACGCAATTCCTGCTTGTTGTTCACCTGACAGCTGAACACACACCTTTAGAAATTAGTTTACAGACATGACTAATGTTGATTATTCCTTCCTGCAGTGTCGTTTATCCCATCATTCAAGAATTCCGATGATGATGAAGTTTCTACAGAATACAAAGGTGTGAAATGTTTACAGAGAAATAATTTAAAATAAATGTTTACAGTCTGAATTAAAAATAATTGTGAACAACCAAACTGTCTTTGTGCCTCAGAGAAGTGTATGGTGTCTCCTGACGTTGGTCCATGTCGTGCTGCCTTCCTAAACTTCTACTTTGATTACCAGTCTGGCTCCTGTCAGTCATTCTTATATGGTGGTTGCCAGGGAAACGGAAATCGTTACAGCAGCATGGACGAGTGTATGACCCAGTGCAGCCTTGATGGTACAAACATCTTATTGTCTCCTCTTATAATATAGATACTTATGCATCAAAGCAGGGCACTTTCACTATTTGTCCTAAAAAAAAGGCAGAACCTGTCCAGATGATTCACACAACTTCTGTCTGTGAAATGTCTGTCTGGCTAATATTCATGTCCTTCCACAGATGTAACATCAGTCTTTTAACATGAATCTGGAATTATGTTCTGATAACACTGAACCTGTACATCTTTTTCCTCAGGTCCATTTTTCCGTCATAATCAAGCACGAAGCCGTTGGACAGCAGGTCAGCTTTCTCCCAACACATGCTCATTTACATAATGGGCTGTGGTTCTCAAACTGTAGTACACTTGGAAATCTAACTTCCATTAGGATAAGCATATATATATATACATACATATATATATACACACACACAGAAGAAATCCTCCTCATATATTGGTCTCATCTGATCAGTGTAGGTCAATATTTAATGTTGGTCATATTGCTGGTAGTGGGAGAGACAGACAAGAGAGACAGATTATTGGATGAGGTATCCAGATTAAAAGAGAATCACTACTGTAAGACAGTCCTGTCGACCATGTTGGTTGTTCTCTGTCTTCCAGCCTTCTTCCTCTTTGTCACGCTGGCAGCCATCTCTGCTCTGCTTTTGCTTGCACTCATCCTCATCTCCCTGAGGCGTCGTCGTCTGTCTCGCCGGTCGTCACTCAGGTACAGTTGACCTGTGCAGCAGTAGCTGACACCACATAAAAAATAAATGAAGGTAACTGTTTGCATATAAACAAATCTAACCTCTAAAAAATCATACCTTGCAGTGATAAGGAGGAGCTGCTACCAGATGAGCAGTCATCAGTGGAGTCTCTCACCCTCCCACCCAGTCCTCAAATCTGAAAGAATCTGAGGCTTGAGTGGATCCAACAGTGGCCACTCCACACTCAAACTACAAAACTTTCACACTTCCTAACATTAAGAGACCTATCTGAGTTTAGGTGTTCCAACCTTTTGATCTTCATTTACTTCCACTGTCTTTTATTTAATGTCTGATTGATAATTCAGTTAAACATTCAAAAAGGATTATTTAACTGTAGTAAACAATTACACATAAGCTACTCCACTTGGACCATAGAATAAACTCAGTCAATTAATGTATGTTTTTATTTTCATTGGTTATTGAAGGGAATTGTTTTGGCACTATTTAGTTGGTCCTTTTTTAATGAAAATGTTTTTAATGATTTGATGAGATTGCACATAGCTTCAATGTGAACAAGAAACAATAAAGTCACATTTTTTTCTATACTAAATACTTGACTTTTTGAAAATTATCAACTGATTGGTTTGGACATATTTTAATGCAAAGTAAGTTTATTCTAATTGTGTGCATTCAAACATTCAGGGATGAATTTGAGTTTTTACTTGTACTCTGGTCTGAATGAATATAATCAATAAACTATAATACTTCCACGCCTTTCTCATGTTGTGAATCTGGTGCTGAGACCTGACTAGATGTTAAAGAAAGCTTATTCTAAGTATTATACCGGTTACTAGTTACTTGTGTGCTTAATTTACTCTGCTGGGAGAGATAGCTCAATAGATAGCCCGATAAATGAATGACTAAAAAGATGTTAAATCACAGCTGTCATTTTCAATTAGTCAATAGTAAACTTAGCGTAATGGTCGTTTGCTTTTACATAAACACGCAAATGTGGACTACTGTAACTCAAACAGATAAAAGGTGGATATTATTTATGTCTTCGTAATCAAAGTCACGTGTCCACGTTGAATCACATAGGAACTAAAGTCCTACGCACCTATTTAGACCCGGGCATATTTCTCTGCGGTCCTCTCTAACCTGAGCGGAAAGAGCCAAGATGGCGCAGAGCTGGAGCTGGAGCAAGTTAGCGGAAGAAGCTGCTGTTGGTTAACGAAACAAGTAGAACTTTTGAACACTGACAGCATTAGCAACATTAACGGGCACGGTCAAACAAAACGAACCGCAGTTCAGAGTCTGGTAAGTGACGTCATCTCCCCCTCGCTTGCAATAACGCCCTGCAGCTAGCATTTTTTTGTGGGCTAACATGTCGAGTCACGGGCGTTTTTGTGCCGGGAAACGCTCCCGTTACAACTCGCGGGTGCTACGACTTGGTGGAACCGACGTGATGGTTCGCGACATATGACTTACCCTTATTAGGTACGACTGTGGCATTTTAGGTCGTTATTCCGCCGTGTTTCGGGGTGCCTGCTGCAGCTAATGCTAATAGAAGTCGTCATTGTCTCTATGTTGTTCAAACTTTTTTAAATACCAGCCGACGCCCCCTACACGTTATAAAACACCACAGTTGTTTTAATGTCAGAGCTGTTGATTTCACTTAGATAAATTCTCAGATTAATCATGTGATCTCGCGTGTTTGTTAGCTATGTTATCAATTGAGCGCAAGCGAGTAATATTTCAGGTTTTGGTACATAACAAGGTAACGCTGTATGTAATGACTGGACCTTATAGTGAAATACTTCTCTCTCACTCTCTCTGTGCATATGTTTATTTATATTTAATGTTTCATCTTTAGTGATAAACGTGGTCAAAGCTGTGCCAGGGCTATGGTGAATTAGTTGCCCAACATGGAAAGCACTGGTTTCAGAAGTGAGATTTGTTTTATCACATGTCAAGGGGAAATTGCGTTAGTTCTTACTAAATTTCACCAAAAACTTATCAGTGAGGTATGATAATACCAGGCTAGAGTTGCAAGATTTAGCTGTCAATTACAAAGTGACCAATCGTCTTCCACAACCTACACATGAGCAGAAACCAGGTAATTAAGTAGCAGGCTTTGGTGAGCTCCAAATGTGCTACAGTATTTGATCATCATAATAGACGATCTTCAAACATTAAGTGATCCAATTTCATTTTTTGTCACTCAGGTATAGATTTTAAAAGATGCACACGTTAAACGTACAAACCCGGCACACGCAAACAGCTGACTGCAGGAATTATCTAACCTTTTGTCTTTTTTTTGCAATGGTTATACCATAATTTTATTTTTAAATAATTAATTTAAGCAGTTTCACCTACACCATGTGTAAATCCCAATTTGTGTATGCATATGTGCATGTATGTGTGTGCGCCAGGTGGTGATGGCAGAGCGGCGTGGCGAGTGTGCGTGGAAGAGACATGTGATAGAGCAGCTGAAGCTCAGAGACCGTGTACAGAGACATGCTTTTGAGGAAATCATCCACCAGTGTAAGTCCGCTCTGACACATGGGCTGCATTTTTCTATGCCACATACTGACATGTGGTCACATGTTAAGCTTAGAGTGCTTTGTTTCCTGCTGCAGCATTTACTTTTGTTATTGTCACCACTGACTTGCTGAGTCAGTACAGACACTGTTGAATCATGTTTGTCTGTTCTCTTACTGCTTTTCTGATTTTTATTGTTTGTCATGATTCAGCACTTTTGTATATTTATATACAGTAGTGGGGAAAACTTTAACTACAGTTATAGTACATATTAAGATATCATCATCACTGATGCCAATATTAGGAGTACTTGTTTTACAGATCACAGATTACTGGAAAAGTCGGACCTTCAGGCTGTCCTGACTGAGCGATACCAGGGTGACAAATATGATGTCCAGAGAGGACATGATACCAGGTGAGACCCTGGGGAACTTTCCTTGAACCTTAAGCCACCAAATAGTTTTTCTTTTTTCTTTTTTTTTTTCAACAGACACAGGAAATGGTCTCTGGCTGACACTGACTCCACTGTTTCCATTTATTTCTTCCAGCGTGGCGGGGGACTTGAATCGCAATGATGCTCTACAGCATGAAATGGCTCAGATGAGAATCAAACATCAGGAGGAGTTGACAGAGCTGCATAAAAAACGAGGAGAGGTGAGTGATCTTGCCTGTACTGTAAAAAATAAGAGTCTGTCTTAGGGAAAAGAACTGCAAGATACTTTACATTCCTGCAATGATGTTATGTCTGTTGCAGCTTGCTCAAAGTGTCATCGAATTGAACAATCAGATACAACAGAAGGACAAAGAAATCCAGAGCAACGAGGCCAAGTCAGTATGAGAGTCTGTGTCTACAGAGGCCTGTTTTCTTTTTAGCTTGTGTGTCGTGCATGCATAATTTGAAATTATTATTAATTATTCAGAGGGTTCGAAGCTGGTTATTTAGCCTGCAGACACATTTTGTTTATCTTCTGGTATTTGCTCGACAAACGACCTGTGGTTGTTGTTTTGTGATAACATCTAAGGATGTGTTTAGAGCCTGAAGACCTTGGGCTGTTCCCGAGTGATTACGTCACAAGTACAAAGGTTCATACCAGGACTAAAAAAGAGCACAGTAAATTTGTAGCCAGTATTCAGAAATTCCTACAGATAATGGCCCAATAATGTAACACAATACAGACTAGCATGCAACCCACAACACGTCACTTGTGTGACTGCAAGAGTTGTCTGTGTTGGCAGACAAAATTCACTTTTGACGATTATCAATTAAAATTGAATGTTTTAACTGCAGGGATTGACTATAACTTGTTTCTTTTGTTGAACACATGTTCACAACAAAAAAATCATTTGTTGGATTTTCTGAGTGTCTTATCTTAAAAAAAACAAATTTTTAAATCCAAATTGTTACCTCTTGTTCCTTAGCCACTAAAACGTTCTGCTCAGTCATCACAGTCGTCAGTTTCACAGTCAATAAGACATAGAGAAATGTTATTTCCATGCCTTATTTGTCATTGTATTTTATTGTAAATAACCAATTTAAGTGACAAATCAGCCTTAAGTCTGTCCCTCTTCCTCCATGTGTCACTGTTAGGTTACTGGAGTACCAGCAGCAAATCAACGACCTAGAGGGAGACTGTCGGGAGCTCAGGAGCTACCTCCAGGTACTCAGATATCTGGAATAACCACACAACTCGGCATAGTGTAAAAAGGGCTGGTGATGATGATGGTCAGTGATGAACAGTAAAAGGTCTGATTACCCACAGTCCTCTCCTCCTGCCCGCTGGCTCCTAGCAGCTTCTGCTCACATCTCTCACCATGCTAAAGTAGTGCACCGGTGGTTCCACAAGCTGCTGACATACAGGAAGTGACATCACTGTGTGGGTCTGTACCAAGATACTACAGACTCATTGATGACTGACATCCAACAGAACCATTCACTATGGAGTGTCAGGCGAAGGAGAAGGAGGGAGCTGATCTCAAGTTTTCAAACTGAGACCATCATCATCATCATCATCAAAGTCACTGTAGTGATTGTCATCAGACCTGTTTTGATTTTTAATCACTTTGGAATCTTGTCCTGTGGTTCTTTAGGATCTAGAACGAGCCAATCAGACGCTGAAGGATGAATACGATGCCCTGCAGATCACCTTTGCTGCCCTTGAGGCAAAACTGAGGAAGACAACGGAGGACAACCAAGAGTTAGTGTCACGCTGGATGGCTGAGAAAGCCCAGGAGGCCAACCGACTGAACGCTGAGAATGAGAAGGAAGGGAGGTAGGCGTAACAACAGAGATGGGACCTCATCCACAAGGACATGTTTTTGTCTATAAACACGGCTCTCTGTTGTTTAGACGCAGACAGGCCAAACTACAGAAGGAGCTGGCAGATGCTGCCAAGGAGCCGCTGCCAATTGAACCGTGAGTATCCTGGACATCAGTGGGATGGTCCATCACACATTCAGTTCAGATGTGTTGCATTTTTGAATTTCATTGAAAATAAAAGCTTCACTTCTGTGTTTAATGTTAAGAAACACATCATTGATTCTCACACAGTTATCTGTGGCTTTATCATATTATTTGGTTTATTTCTAAACGTCAGTCCAGTCGTTGTCCTCAACAGTATTAATCAGTCTACAGTCCTGTAAAATCCGTTCGACTGGTGTCAGTCGTAGATTTACTGACAGTGCTGATCTCAGTCAGGCTGGAGCAGGTTGAAGAACCCACAAATACATGTTATGAGTTGATTGGATTTTAAGATCCAGTAGGTTCTGTGAAACAAACGGTGTGTGTTTGGATGGATGGTGTAAATATTGGATTTACTACAGTTGTGTCTACGTGAGTTAAAATGCATTTAAGATGTTGTTCTAATTCCACATATTACCGTCAAGAGTGACAGACTGTGATTTCTTGTTTTTAATCACATCTTGAAATGACACAGCTTACTGACAATGTACAGAAGTCTTTAATCTCTGTCTTTTGTCTCTACAGTGATGACGACATCGAGGTCCTTGACCCAGGGAAAGGTGGAGAGACATCACCAAACAGACCTAACAGCAGGACACCGAGGTGCCAAGGCTTCTTCACCTTCTTTCTGTTTATTTGTTGCTCAATCAGCTGTGAACATGCAACTCTCACTACTATCATAAATTATACATTGATTGTCTTTTGGGTTATCAAACTGAAATTTGTCCAACTTCTGATTGGTTTGTAGTAAGAAAATATCTCAGCCGCCCCCTGGTGGTCTTCTTGACTCCATCTCCAACATATTTGGGTTTGTAGCTGTGTCTTCTCCTGGTTTTTGTCCAACAGATTTTGTTCACACTATCCAACATTGACTTTGTGCTTGCTTGACTGGTGTCTCCATCAGCAGACGTCGATCAACCAATTCTTTTAGCACCTCACCAGAAAATACGGAGACATCGTCAGGGGTCTGTGCTGAAGTGCGAGTCCCATCCACTGCTCTGCACGTCTTTGTAAGTCATCTACTTAAATGACTTGAATGCTTTTACTTTACAGTCCTGGTCAACAACATTTTTCAAGCATATAATGCTTTATCACAAATTAATATACGTGTGTTTCAGGAAGCACATGAAGGTGAGGTGAATGCCGTCAGGTTCAGCCCCGGCTCCCGCCTCCTGGCTACTGGTGGAATGGACCGCAGGGTGAAGCTGTGGGAGGTTGTTTCAGGTGAATCTACACGAGACAATGAACTTTTCCTTTCTTTTATTTATTTATTTATTTATTTATTTATAGCAAACAAACGTGCAGCACAAACTTCACATTTTTGTTGTCATGTCTGGGCGTAGGTCGCTGTGAGTGTAAAGGAGCTCTCACTGGCAGCAACGCAGGAATCACCAGCATCGAGTTTGACAGCTCTGTGAGTCTGCAGTTACAGAAACTCTCCACTCTTGACTTAATATAAGTTATCATATATATATATATATATATATATATAGATATAGATAGATAGATAGATAGTGAAACACTAGTCCATTAGCTTTGCGTGTGTGTTTTGTTTACGTCTGTGTTATTTTATTAATGCTGTAACAGGAAGTTATGTCCTCAGGGTTCTTATCTTCTCGCTGCATCCAATGATTTTGCCAGTCGCATCTGGACAGTGGAAGACTACAGACTGAGGGTAAGTCAATGATGTCACACCTGCAGAGTCAGCCTTTGATTGATTTGGTAGTTGAGGTCAGATGTGCACAGTCGTCCCTCTTGTGGTCAGTGATGTTTTGTAAAAGGTCTGATTCAGCTCCTCCTCCTCAGCCATCATCTTGGCTCCCAGCAGTCTCTCTCTCTTACTCCCATCATGCACCAGTTCAGCACTGATGGTTTAAGAGGCTGCTGACACATAGGGAGTTACATCACAGTGTGAGTCTATACAGAGACCCTATAGATTCAGAGTGATGTGGGACCTCCAACAGGGCCAATAGGTGTGGAGCTTGAGGCGGCTGTGGGGGAGGAGCCTAGATGTGATCTCACCCTGTTACTGAGGCCACAGAAACAACAGTGTACAATTAAAATAGAGCATCGTATAAGAAGACTCTTACTAAGGATACTGGAAGAGTCACTTCACTTTCAATTGAGATAATTAGGAAGTGTAGAGACGACAGGTTACCTTGGGCACACATTTAAGCTTTGCCAACTTCCTCAGTTATTTTCTTTCCACTTTTTTTTATTTGCTTGAAATCGCACTTCTATTGCTGTCTTTTTTTTTTTTTTTTTTTTTCTGTCATGATCACTCAAACCTTTCTTCTCTCTCTCTCTCTCTCTCTCTCTCTCTCTCTCTCTCTCTCTCTCCCCCTCTCCCTCCCGATCTCACACCTTTCTTCTCTCAGCACACACTGACAGGTCACAGTGGAAAAGTCCTCTCAGCTCGCTTCCTCTTGGACAACGCTCGTATCGTCTCCGGAAGTTACGACCGAACCCTTAAACTGTGGGACCTTCGCAGCAAAGTCTGTACGTGATTGGTCGGTTTGGTTGTTCATATTATTAGTCACATATTCAGTTTGCTCTGAGAGGAAGTGACCTCATATTCTTGCTCTTGTAATGCAGGCATGAAGACAGTGTTTGCTGGCTCCAGCTGTAATGACATTGTTTGTACTGAGCAGTGTGTGATGAGTGGACACTTTGACAAGAAGGTTCGATTCTGGGACATTAGGTGAGACATGAGCAAACACAAGGATCCCAGTGGTCTGTACTATGGCAAACATGAGACATTTGTGTTAAGTTGACAATTCATAGTCGAAGATGCAGGTTTACACATTTACTTGGTGATGGGTAAAATGCATAAGTCACATTCCATTGTGTGCAATGATGTGCTGTGTCACAATGACAATTTGTTTTCACTTCAACTACTCAAAGTTGACCCAATAAACTACTCCAGGGAAAATTACTTCTCAGAACCTTGTGTGAAATGTGCAACCCTTCACTGACTAGTACTTTCTTTAGTACTAGTACTGCATTCTATGATTGGAAACAAATCTGTCCTGCTACTTGTGAACAGAGCCTTGAAAACATCTATCATAGGGTGGCTTTGAAAACCTGGAAAATGTCTAATATTCTGATCGTAGAAAAGTCAGAAGTCCTTGAAATGTTCACCTTATAGTGCATGGAAAGTTGACTTTACCCACCAATCAAATGTCCATGTCCCCTCCAGTTGATTTTGGAGTTAGAGACCTTTCTAGCACATGGAGACAAAAGCCATTCAGATTCCAGTTGGGAAGTGATGCATTAAGTTTAGTATACTCAAGGTTCATCTGTAGAGCTTCTACTGATGAATTATTCCCTCATCCTCTTTGTGTTCAAAAGTAAAAGTGAAATCAAACATTCATTCACCAACATTTTTACTGAACAGTACATTTTCTTGGTTTGTTCATGGTTGTCATTTATCCAATGGTTTGCTGTGATGTCTCAGAGCAGAGAGCATCGTCCAAGACCTGGAGCTCCAGGGCAGAGTCACATGTCTGGATCTGAACCACGACAGAACTGAGCTGCTCACCTGCTCCAGGGATGATGTCATCAAAATCATTGACCTGCGCACAAATGCTGTTAAACAAACTCTTGGGTCAGTATGTGTGCGTGCATCATCTCAATACTTCTGGAAAGCAGGAGTCGGTGTTTTCATTCAAAATGCACCATTGGTCACTTTCTGTTCAGCTGACTGTGTTAACTATGCAGAAAGTTTTTTTTTTTTTTGATTTTCTGTTTTTCACCATGAGTGTGTTTGTCTTCAGAGCCCAGGGTTTCAAATGTGGAGCAGATTGGACCAGGATCTCTTTCAGGTGAGTTTTAAACATTTGTCCAGTTGTGTGCATCTGTGGTCATGTGACACCTCCCTTTCATGTTTCAGTCCAGACGGCAGCTATGTGGCAGGAGGCTCGGCTGATGGAGCGCTGTATGTGTGGAATGTTTTAACAGGAAATGTGGACAGAATTCTGGATCGGAACCACAAGTAAGAAGTGAACGGCAACCACAGGGCTGCTCCCAACCAATCATGTGCCTCTTGTATTGGTTGGTACTCGGTCTAATCTTCACTTCTCTCCTCATCTGCAGCTCTGCCATCAATGCTGTGTCATGGTCCCCATCAGGAACGTATGTGGCGAGTGTGGAGAAAGGAAGCAGGGCCATCCTGTGGTCAGACATGTGACTTAGTAGCACGGAACCAGTTACTGGAGACAGAGACTCTGATGATGCTGCTCGTCGCCACATGTTTTCTTGTTTTAAAAGTGTAAAATTTGTCATAAGACTGCCACCACTGTTAAAAATGGTTCAGCTGCACAACTTCAATAATGTTGGACAGACACCCGCCCCTCAGCTTCCACCTCCTCTTGGCCCTTCATCTCCTCTTCATATTCAAAAAGCCAGACTGAGATATGGTTGATTCATACCTGGTTTTAACACTGTTCTCTTGCACATACAAATACTTAACTGTTTCCCTGTCTGTTTTGTTGTTGTTTTTTTAATCACATACTCTTGATTAATATACATGTGTTGTGAATATCTGCAAAATGAAGGTAAGTCTACATTGTGTGGAAAATTAAAATCATCACAGAGTTAGAAATTGAGCAGTTGAACATTCTCCTTGTTCTTCTCCTTTGGTGGAGATGTTTTGGAGGTGAGCCAGCTGACCTTTCACCTTCAGTAACATTTTCAATACCTCAGACGCCACAGTCCTACAGACTGTACTTACATTCTGACAAAAGGAAGAGAAACAGACCAAAAGAAAAACTGGGGACAGAAAACAGGTCAGAGGTCATCGTCACAGTCTGAACCAATTGACTCTGTCTCTGTTACCAGTGAACAATATTCATTTTAACATCACCTTTAAACCTTGGTCATTTCAGGAAGCATTTCTTAGACGATGTATCTTTAACTCAAGTGTCCTAAAGTCAATGAGAAGAGCCAAGTTAATAAAGTGATCGGCTCGCAGCTGTTTGCGTGTGTGCACGTTCACAGTGGCAGGGAAACTTTTAGACCTTTGTGAAAAGCTCTGAACAATTGGCGTTCTGGTTTGGGTTCATTGGGGCCATGTGGAATTAACTGAGGAAACCCCTTTGAATCTCCACCGATGAAGCAGGCAAGGACTTCCCTTTTATGCCATTAAATTTGTATAGATAACTTGACAATTACATTATGTTTGTTAAAAATGATAGGCTACTCTCAGAGATCATGGAAAAAATACTATATGGTTATACATTTACAGACACTCTGGTGTCTGTAACAAACAAAACAGGTTTGTATCAGTTCAATCTGTTCACGCTTCAGACGTAAAGACGCGCTCCTCTCCTAATCTGCTGACTCAGTGCTCGGTCTGCTGAGTCAGCAGGAGCAAAGCAGCTCACACTTACTGCTGATCACCTGTGATTAGTTGTGGTGGACACGCCCTTGACTTCCTGTTTACACTCTGGGATGTAAACAAACAAGATTCGAACTAAACAAGTGTCATCACGTGTTTTTATTTTTATGGGTGGTGGGTCGACGCAGGGCAGAAAATCAAAACGTTGACCCTTGACCTGTAATATTTGATAGACATTTAACAGAAAGTGCTATAGGTGTGTGTAAAGAAACAGAGAGAAAGAGGCTTTGTTCTTCCAGTAATAAGCTGCTTACTGACCAGGCTCTGTGTGCGTGCTGTCTGTAGTATATAAGAAGCTCATCAGTGAGGCCAGGAGTAAGCGGTGCCCTCTGCTGACTCTACAGTGCAGCTTCAGGTTAGTGTAAAGATTCTGTTTGACAAATGAATGTTCAAATAAACCGTAGTTCTCCCATTTTAGGTGAACTGTCAAATTTCGGTTTTGTCGGACCTGCTTCTTAGTTCATTTACTATGAAAATGCTTTTGTTTGAGGTTTACATTTACTTAGGCCCCTTACTATAATTTAAAAAACGTTAAAGTTTACAGTCATTTGGGTACAATATATGGATGTAATTATAAGACGAGGTGTGGTTTTTGTCCTAGACAAACCTGCGGTGGAGCCTGCAGTATAATGCTGTTTGAAATTATCTTATTCTCTACAGTTGCTCAAATGCTTGTAAAAAAGGACAAAGGCAGCAGCTAGGGGTCGACAGGAAATAAAAACACCAACATCACCACACAGTACTGCATGATACAGCAGTACCTGTAGAGATGTA